GGCGGGTTCGGTTCCATTTGCCTGCTTTTTTACCCGACAAATCGTCCATGCTCAAATAGGGCTCGTACCCGATGCGCGCCAGCAATGCTGCGAGCTCGCTCATGTGTAATGCCTGCGCGTCGAATGTGATTCGTACCTTTTTCTCCGGAAAGTTCACTACCGAACTCCGAACCGCCGGATTGAGCCGGTAGAGGTGTTCGAGCAACCAGATGCACGAGCTGCAATGCATTTTCGGCAGGTACCAGTAAACGGTGGTCAGGCGCCCGTCCGTAAACTCGATGATCTTTTCGTGCACTTCCGGCTGGTCGAGATGATCGTATTTGCCCTTGTAAAATGTTGGGTCCGGCGAAATGCCCTGCGCGCCTTCCAGGGTGTAATACTGACAAAGGTCACGCTCTTTCAACAAGCTGTAAACGGTCACGCATCCGTCGCAGCAGAAATCATGGTCGTCGGCGCGCAACACTTCGTCGCGGCAGTCCTCGCCGCAGTGATAGCAAAGGTGCCGGGTATCGGGAATGGCCTCCAGGGCCGTCAATATGCTCATGGTCATGGTTTGGGTTAAACCTTACCCAAAATTGGAACATACGACCAGCCTAACGGATGATGAAAAGACGTGGGAAAAACTGACTTTGGTCAGGAATTGTAACTTATTCCCTGGTTGAGCTCGAAAGCGTAGCGATAATCGATTAATGCCTTTTGCTCCGCATTGGCATACCAGCCCGTTTCCTCGTGGCTGACGTGCACAATTTCGTCGGTTGCAAGTTTGCCATAGCGCTTGGCCACAAATTCGAGCACCCTTAATTCTTCTTGAGAAAACAGTGTCTTGTCAAACGACGCGGAGGCTTTGATTTCATCACCATAGGCGCCATTTCCAAGGTATTGTTCTTCGATGCTGATTTGGGCCTGTTCCGAAAGATTTACGTACATTTTCTGGAACTGCGAAGGAACGGGGCCAAACTGAATCGCCCGGTATTCCAGGCCGGTAATCGAGTAGCCTGTTAGTCGGTAAGTATTAAAATCGGCGTAGAATAACAGCTTGTTCAATTTAGTTTTGAACAAAGTGATCCTTCGTAACTCCTGGAAAAACGCAATAATGCTCGCGATTTTGGCAAAATCCGGTTGGCGATAGCCGTTGAGCCTTGATGGAAACACTTTTTTCGTCAACTAATCGCGTGTTTGAGTTCTCTGCGGTCAGTGTCAGCTTTTTGATTTCCTTGTCAGTAAGGAAATGTACGCTGGCAGTAACCTGCCGGGCAAACGTCTCCGGATTGCGGATCGACATAATCAGCCTTCCGATAGCCACCGACGGCACTTCTCCCGCTTCATACAAGCGATATGAATTCGTTCCCAGTCCTAAAATCTCGGACATTTTACTAGCCGAAACCCCATAACCTTCTCTGATCCGCCTGATTTCGTCCGGAAATGGGATTCTGTACTTCTCGCGGTATTGGTTATGAACCTGTACAATGCTCAATTCGTCCAGCCGGTCGTCGCTGAAACGCCCACCGGAATCTTCGCATTCGTAAAAATGCGTGACCACTTCAAATTCTTCTTTCCTGAATACCAGGCTTGCAACCTCGTTCCGCACCTGCATTTCTTTTCCTGTAACCGGACTTTTCATAATGTTTGTTTAAATGGATAGCTCATCGGTTTTTCGGCCACATGAAATGAAATGCACAAGACATTCGTATTGGGCCGACCCATGGAAATCTTGATGTAAAGCTGACGCCCCTGAAAATGCCTGCCGAAAACCCACATATCGTTGATTTTATAAAGTGTATATGTCAGTGGCCCTTCTACATAGTCGTCAACCGAAATCGCTTCGATGATTTGCCGCCGTTTCGACGGGGAGATTTCCAGAAGTAGTAATGTCTGCACGTTCTTAGGATTTTTTCTCTTTTCTTATGTGGTAAGAAAATTTCTTTAGAAAAATCAAGAGATGAACTGAAATTTGTTTTTCTAGTCACTTGGGACATTCGACGAAATGATTCATGCAAAGACTACTTCCCGAATCAAGACTATGAGAACGAGTGTAGTCAAGATATGAATAACAGTTGTTTTGAGCACACAATGTATCAAACTAATGTTCCTAATCATATTAATAAATAATACAAAAAACACATTGTGTTACGCGTTGCCGTGTGGATGAGGAATGTCGTTGAGGCTAAGGTGACAGTGCAACTCATAGCATCGCCTTACGTTCTGACTTACTATCTTGTATGAAAGCTACTTCATCTATTATTCTATCAGATCTTGAGCATCTTCATGATTCTAATTGCCTTCAATGCCGTTTGTCAGCTTTAGACGTATACACACTATCACCAACCATCTCATTCCTGACACTAAACCGAACCTAATAATCTATCGGTATTGTGAACATAAAAAGTTACTATAATTTTCAACATAGAATATGACTGAGTTGATCGTAGGACAAAAAAATTCCATCTTATTTACTATGTTGATAAACTTCTCAATCTTGTGACTGGAAAGGCTATATAAAATAATGAGTGATTTTGAAATATTTAGTTGTTTTTTGTTGTTGAGTCTATTTCATTACATGTCGTGCATTTTTTACAATTGTATTTACCCTTACGGAACGTTCACATCTGTCTCTATGCTAGAACTGATTAATTACACGAGTAATTACTTGTGCGACAAATTGTCCGCCCATCAAAACTTATCACATGTCTGAGAATTGTGTTAAATGTGTCCTAAGGACCGACATGTTGGTTGTATTTTAAAGGCATGAAAATTCCGAGAATGTATAATTAATAAATACTTCACTTGCTAATAGATTTCCTTCGTTATCCATTCAACAAATTAGTTTACCACTTAAGAAAAGAGAAAAATTTAACCAATTTCCTTTTTCATCTAGACTTTTCTACACAAAAAAAGAAAGATACTTATCCATTTTCATCATTCCTATTCAATTTTGCTACTTCTTCTTCGTCAATTAAGACAAAACAAACACTTTGTTGCTTCGTTCCAGTCAGCCCAAATGAATACAGAGTATATAGAATATCTCTACAATATTCGATCACAATTCGGCCTCTATGTATCGATTCCGATTTGGTTTATTTCTCTCCTTAGTGAATTCCTTAGCATTATTGTCTTTCTTAGTCTCAAAACATTCCGACAAAATTCTTGTTCATTTTATCTTTTATTCATGTCAATATTCAACTTCTTTCGACTAATATTCAGTACATCTCTTATTATCATTTCAATAGCATTTACAGTCCATTGGAGATCGGCGTTGTTTTTATATTGTCGAATAAGAAATTTTGTTATTGCATTTTCTGCAATCAGTTCAACAATCATGTTATGTTTAGCTGTAATTGATCAATATCTTGCAACATGCACACGTCCACGATGGCAAAGATGGGCAAATATCAAAGTAGCTCATCGAATGACAATTCTTGTTTCGATGTTTTGGGCAGCACATGCGGTGTTATTCTTCATTTATAACCGAGATCTGTCACCGACAAATGCAGCTATTTGTAGCTCATTTGATCCTGTGTTTGCACGATATGAAACGTACGGAGTTTATTTGACAATAAGCAATCTTTTCCCATGTATTGCAATACTATTCGGTATATTGGCATATCAAAATGCTCGAACATTAACAACGAGAGCAAATCCGATGATTCGTCGTGAATTAGACAAACAACTGACAGTTATGGTTCTTGTCAAAATCAGTATTTATATGTGTACGTTTATACCATTCACAATCACCAGCGGATTTTTATCATTAATTACAATTGATGATCCTGTTGTTCTTGCTCAGTTAAATTTGGTGAATACAGTTGTACTGATATGGGATATTTTATCATATGGGGTAAAAAAATCCATTTCAGAAAGATAAATTCCTACAAATGGTCTGTTTAGAGTTCATTTTACATATATATTATTGTATCGAAACGATTTCGGCGTCAAGCAAAATATGTTCTATATGACATTTATATGAATCGATTTCGACAGAATCGTATCTATCCAAATCAAACAGAAATAGCGACCACAGCAAACAGTATACCAGAAGTTTGATTTGATTACGGAAAGAAAAACAATCGCGAACGACATGATCAATTCCAGTAAGAAACGGTATTTTTGTTATATGTTTAAAGCTGTGAGTCAAAAAACGAAGACATTTTATAAATAATTAGAAAAAATTACATCAAAACAATTTTTTGTTTGTGGATGAAATTTCTTTCCTTTATTATCTTTTTTAGTTTGTAATCTGTTAGTTTTAGATTCAACAAGAATTGGAACATCAGCAAAAGAGCAACCGAGAGAAAGCAACCTTCTGTTATCTGGTCAGACGCACTTACTCATCTCAAATTAGTAGAATTAACTTAATCTCTATCTCAGTTCAGAGCTAGGACGCAAGTATTTGTACTTGTACTTAGTTTTTGCCTTTTCCTGCAGCGGTCGTTTTATGAATTAAGTCGATTCAACATTCTGATCATGAATTGATATCTATTTCTTGTCATGCGATCAAAATCTATTTTAGTATTTAGGTATTTGCGTTCCTACTGTAATTGGTATACGCAAAATTAAAGCCATTGAGATTGTGTTGTTATTTAAAATTATTTATTACAAATTAGTAACGCTCGTCGAAGCAGACTCGCTTAATCCTCGACTGAATGACTAACAGTAAACGTTTTCTCTTGCTGAGATGATTGATAATAATGGGAATTCGATTACTATGTGCTCGTCATAGTCCTTTTTAGCTTATAATCTTGAAAGTTAACTCGCAAGTATTAAAAAAAAGGATTTCTAATTCAAATTACAGCTGAGAACATTTGTTTCATGACTTCTGTAGTCTGGAGAGAGGGAGAAGGTGATGATTTGAGGAGTGGCACTGGATTACAACGATACCAGAGGTTATTTTTTTTATCAACTGGCTTATTTTTTATTTTTCTCAAGGATTTCTATTATTTATATATTCCGCACTATTTTTCGCATTGTCTTCACCATGAGTAGACGTTTTCATCTGTTGCTTCGATTGAATTCCTTCAATATCAAAGAATATTTTGAATCTTAGGCACAAATTTGGCAAAACCGGAAGTCTCGAAGATAAATCGCGATCTGGCCGTCTTCGGCGAATGATGAAAGAATTTGAATCTAAGTCTTATTGCTCGCAATTACTGCTGACAGTGTGAATTTACTAGCATTCTTCCCAATATATTAGTAGGAGACTCTTCCTTGTTTAAAAAAATTGTTTGAGCGGATGAAGCAATTTTCAAGTTGAAGGATCATGTCAGCCGACAGAACTGGGTAGATTATGTTACAGATAACCTTCATGCAATTATTATTCAAGAGATGAGTGCTCCACATTAGTGGCGTATATAAGGCCTGACACTATACCAGGCCACCGAGGAAAAATTCTGATTACTTGTTTTTTATATTGTGGAGTTACATGATCCGATCCCATTGTGTGATATAATTAGCAAGGAAACAGAATACAAAATCGTTCTTCATATTTGACAGCAGAAATCTTCAGTGTATCGTGAGCAAACAGATCTTCCTAGTCCTAGCAAAATGTAAGACTTCTTTTGACAATAATGTAATATATTTATAAGTTCATCGAATAGGATGTAAATATTGTGAATTATTTAATATGATTCTCATTTTCAAAAAAAAAGATTGTCAATCAAAGCAAGTAGATTGAATAATGGTATAGCTGCCCACCCATGCCGTCCATGATTTCGATGTGATACCATGTTGTGTAGTACTTATATACTTATCTTGACCAGGTAGTATCATGAATGTGACTGCACATCTTTGGCCAACGCGGACGAAACCAGAATGCACAGAAGTTACGGCCGTGGGCGAATCATCTGTGTAAATTGTTGTGCCCCATATACTTTCACTGGCAGATCCTATTACACCGAAAATGAGAGTCTGATTAGTACCTCGAAAGGCTACGAGATTTGCTGGTGATGGCAGAGGTAGTCTTGGAGCTAGAAAATATTATCATAGTCTCCTCGTCCATACTCTTACGATAAGCATTACCTGTTATATTTGGTTGCAAGAATTGTACCGGTATGGGACCAGTGACAATGATTGAGAATACGCCCACAGTATTTGGAGTGTATGTTGTAATCACCAAAGTAACCGTCGTTTTAGCTTGCACATGAACATCGAAAAGAAATTGATGATTTCCACCCTCATCATCATCTGAGTTTACCAAATTTACAGACGGGAAAAAAGGACTGAACGTCTTGTTATAAATATATCCATATGTATCAAATTTACTGTTACTTGTAATAGTATAATTTCCACTAGTGTTCATACTGATTTCAATAATATCATAATAATTATATACAGATAATGTGCACGTGTAAGAAGTCTCGTCGCGACAATAGATTCGGCTAGCATTGTTCAACACCGAGAAATATATTGATTGTGTATTTGACGTGTCACCTAATCATAAGAAATAAAACGAATATTCTTCTTTGTTTGTATTTAGAGATTCGATTTTAAAGTACTATACTCGACTCATTTTGACAATATATCTATATGAAATCGAAGCTTTCCTTTCTCAAGCAACCGCTGTCTAACGAAATAACTGTTAAAGCCCAGAAACGTTGCTAAGTAAATATGCAAAGTGCACAACAAACTTCATAGGTCCAAGAAAAATTATTTTTATCCTGGTGTAACTTTATAGATAATTTATGAAGTTTTTAGTCCTTTTAGTCCCTTTAATCTTCTTAGAGTGTGAGAATGAGAGAGATGGTTAGGATGAGGGTATGGGTGAGGGTATGGGTGAGGATGTGGGTGTGGGTGTGGGTGAGGGTGAGGGTGTGGGTGAGGGTTCGCTGGATTAAAGGGACTAAAGGGAGTAAAGGGCCTAAAGGATTTTATAGATTAAATATAAAATACACCGGGATAAAACTAATTTTTCGTGGACCCCTCACAAACTTGGTACCTTGTCGTAGCCTTACCTGTAACAGCAGTTATATTCAGGCCCATGTTGGCCGTGACACTCGTTGAATTATCTAAAAAATATACACACATCGTTTAGAGAAGAGAAGGTGTCGGTGTAAGAAGTCTCCATATCCTGAAAAATAGTCTACTTATTCCTATAAGGATCATAACAGTACCATGTTCTTGACTTGAAGTCATTAATGTCGTATGACTTGCTGCTGCTGCTGTTGTTGTTTCATCTATGACATGAGCAAACTTCAACAAACAAAAAGAATTATGTACAATGAAATCTTACTTGACGATATAGCCGTATCCTTATTCTGTCGCAAGAAATGCACAACTATCGGAAGTGTGATAGCTGTGGCTATCACAATAAGTACTAGTGATACTAAACCGATTTTTAACAAAATATGCATTTGCAGTTGGAATGAAATATATGTCTAAAAGGATTCAATAGTAATTCTTCGCTTAAATTACAATAAACTCTATTACGGGAATGACAGCGCCAGTTATAATGTTTGAGAATTCAAATATTCTTTGCTCTTTTCTTTTCGCCTACAGCCTCGATCTTCATATTATTTTTTAAACGCTAAACAAAATGTTTCTGACTTTCCCACGGTTTTGCATCAATGAAAACATCCTACTTCTACCGTGAAAAACTTTTTCCTGACATTCTGCCGGTTTCACACCAAAAAATATCACTATATGAATATTGCGCACGACTCTTTTTTCTAACATATTCTCTTTGTATTTTAATTGCGAGAGGCTGTTTGGAAAATTGTTCATATAGATTTCTCATGTAGAGTTCTTCACATTATAAATATTTTAATTAGGATCTAAGTCGTATTTTCCACCATGCCGATCGCTCAAAAGATTCGAGAATTATGGCAAGAAACAAAACATTTCTGTCAAACGTTCAACTTATTTCCGTCTATACCACCTGCAGCCAACGACTACGATTTACAAAATCAAAAGATATCCACCAGAGTGTATGTTACTTTGCTAACAATCGTACTTATAATCCTATTAATATACAACTCAATAGAAACTATTACAAAAACTATTACGGTCAAAACGCCCAGTCTCAATGAATATTTACATTTATATTCCAAATATCCGCAGTCATTAACATGTCCGTGCACAGACATATCAATCGAATATGAAAAGTTTGTTGAAGTGCAGTATTCATTTCATCAAGTATGTACAAGTGATTTCGTCAGCGAACAGTGGATTAATTATCTAAGTTCCTTTCCTGGAAATGTTACGCTAACCGTTGACGATTTTCGGTGGACTAGTAGTCACTCATTTCAAACTCTACGCGCATTCTGTGACCTGATTGCGAAAGCTCTATCGGATGGTTTGGATCGCTTCTATGCCAGCGAATTTCTTAGTGAGTTTGTCATACCTTTTCAATTGTTTCAGTCGCAAATTCAAGCATTATCTGATCAATTTGCCTTAAAAACTCAAAAAACCTTTGTATCATCTTTATCTCTTGTTCGAAACACCATACTAGACAACACCCTGTTAACGTCCCTCCAGACAGATTACCTATTATATATACCGAGTGCAAGTGTATATGCGAGTTCATCTCCATGGTCCTATAANTTTCTTAGTGAGTTTGTCATACCTTTTCAATTGTTTCAGTCGCAAATTCAAGCATTATCTGATCAATTTGCCTTAAAAACTCAAAAAACCTTTGTATCATCTTTATCTCTTGTTCGAAACACCATACTAGACAACACCCTGTTAACGTCCCTCCAGACAGATTACCTATTATATATACCGAGTGCAAGTGTATATGCGAGTTCATCTCCATGGTCCTATAATAGTTGCAACTGTGCTTCCACGTCCACATGTGGCTACGAAGCTCCTATCCGTCGCTATCCTAATCAGACTGTGACTTTTATTGTGCCTGGATTCTATATCGGATGTTACGTGATCGAATCACTACTCAAATCCAACTTGAAGTGTTTTTATAACCAAAAATGTATCACTTCATTACAATTCCATTTTAGCGGCACCATACCGTTTAATGCTACGTCACTTAACTCAACATCAACAACTCGGTATTTTCAAAACTCAACAATACAAGACCTTCTGAATTATTTGATGGTAGAAGAATGGGATACAACAGAAAATTATACAAGTTACTATGCTGATTGTCGACCATCACAATGTGTGTATACTTACACTGCAAGAAACGATATTACTTACATTGTAACAACATTGATCGGATTACTTGGCGGTTTGATGACAATTCTAAGACTTCTTGTACCACCAACAATCAAATTTATTCGAAAGAAATGCTCATTCCGACGAAGATCAGAATCAGGTAGAAGGAAATATTCGACACATTCATTGAAATTTCAAATTTGAGAAATTATTGACTTTTTAGATGAACCTGAGCAACGCAGTGTCGGCAGTTTGTTCACAAAATTGAAGCTTTACATTGCAACATTCAATATGTTTCCATCGATACCACCTTCAACTAGCAATTACGTTTTACAGAATCAAAGAATATCTACAAGAGTATTTATCATATTATTAGCAACCATACTAGTGATCCTGTCCATATACAACTCAGTAGGGACTATTACCAAAGCTATCACGGTCAAAACACCTACTCTCGAGCAATACTTACATCTATATGCAGCATATCCTCAAACATTAACGTGTCCGTGCACGGAAATATCAGTCGAGTATGCAAAGTTTATCGAGGTGTATTATTCATTTCATCAAGTATGTACAAGTGATTTTATCGGCAAAGAATGGATTAGATATGTAGCATCATCATTCACTTACACAACTGTATGGCGTTCTGACTTTCGATGGACTGGAGCGTCCTTATTTCGAGCTCTACGTACGAATTGTCAGCTAATGAACACAACTGTATCGGACAATTTGGAGCGATTCTATTCCGAAGAATATGTCAACGCATTTCTTTCTCCGCCTGAATTATTTAGCTCACAAATTTATGCTTTAAGTGAACAGTTCAAAACAGCAACAATTAGCAGTCGGCTATTAGCTATCTCGATGATGCGTGATACGACTCAAGCCAATGCGTTGTATACCACACAGCTCACAAATTTTAATTTGCAGGGAGAAAATGCAAACAACATGATAGTTTCTGAATCCGTCGTCTATGATGATTGCAGATGCGATATCTCATCAAAATGTGTTTTACCATCAGGTATATATGACTATCGTACTTACGCCACGCAATTCATGGTGCCTGGAGTTTATTATGGATGTTATGTAATTGAATCACTACTTCAATCCAATCTACAATGCTTCTACAATCAAACATGCACCAATATCTTGACATCGTATTTCAGTACTAATCTACGATTTAATGCAACAGCTCTTAACTCGTTACTGCCAAGTCGATATTCAGTGGAGTCAACAATACAAGATCTTGTTAACGATTTGATGATGGAAGAATGGCGAACAGTAGGCAACTATACGAGTTACTATGCTGGATGTCGACCTGCACAATGTGTTTATACTTACACGGCAAGAAACGATATTATCTATATTGTAACAGTGTTGATCGGGCTGGTTGGCGGTTTGATGACAGTATTACAACTTCTTGTGCCGCGATTGGTGACATTTGTCAGGAAAGCTTGTACATTCCGAAGATTTAATCGCGGTAAGAAAAAAAAATCATCTTATGGCTACTCACGATGATGTACATATTGTGACACATACTTTGTTTTCTAGATGCTAGCGGACAATACCAAAGTAGTGTCACAGTTACAAAAGTAAAACAGTATGCTTCAGCATTCAATTTATTTCCATCGATACCACCAGCAGATAATGCTTACGATTTACAAAATCAAAAAATATCAACAAGAGTGTACATTATTTTGTTAGCGATCATACTAGTGTTCCTTTTGATGTATAACTCATTAAGAACTCTCACTGAAACTGTTACAGTCAAAACACCTACTCTCGAACAATATTCACGTTTGTATTCGGAATATTCTGAAACAATGACGTGTCCGTGCACGAAAATATCAGTCAAATATGAGAAACTGGTTGAAGTACATTATTCATTTCATCAAGTATGTAGAAGTCACTTCGTTAGTGAAAAATGGATTGATTTCCTTGCTCTGTATGCTTCAACTACTAAACTAAATTATGACGATTTTCGCTGGACAGCGAAATATACATTTCAAGCTCTGCGTGCGTTTTGTCAGTTAATGAACACAACTATATCAGACAATTTGAAGCGATTCTATTCCGAAGAATATGTCAGCGCATTTGTTACACCTCCCGAACTACTTCAATCACAAGTTCAAGGTTCCGTTGAACAATTCAAAACAGCAACAATTAACAGTCTTTTATTATCTCTTTCTATGATCAGAGAAACAACTCATGGTAATAGTCTGTTCTCCGGTCTTCAGATTAATTATTATCTATATCAAACACCAGATAGAGAGCTGTCGCCCATAGTGCGTAATTACGGTAACTGTAGTTGCGCTTCGTCACTAACATGTGGCTATCAATCGGCTGTACGAGATTATGGTAGTCATCGTGTGAAGTTTTCTGTTCCTGGATTCTATGTCGGATGTTACGTGATCGAATCACTACTCAGATCCAACTTGCAGTGTTTTTATAATCAATCATGTGTCAGCACACTACAATCGTATTTTACCGGAGTTTTACAATTTAATGCAACAGCACTTGACTCATCACTAACAAGTGAGTATTCACAAAACTCAACAATACAAGATCTTCTGAATTACTTGATGGTAGAAGAATGGGATATAAGAGGAAATTATACAAGTTACTACGCTGATTGTCNATCACTACTCAGATCCAACTTGCAGTGTTTTTATAATCAATCATGTGTCAGCACACTACAATCGTATTTTACCGGAGTTTTACAATTTAATGCAACAGCACTTGACTCATCACTAACAAGTCAGTATTCACAAAACTCAACAATACAAGACCTTCTGAATTACTTGATGGTAGAAGAATGGGATATAAGAGGAAATTATACAAGTTACTACGCTGATTGTCGACCATCACAATGTGTCTATACTTACACTGTCAGAAACGGTATTTTATACATAGCGACCACATTGATTGGGCTGCTTGGTGGTTTGATAACATTTCTACGACTCCTTGTACCACGAATAGTGAAGTTCTTCGTACGCTGTGTCCTAAACCGCAAAAGGGTAGTTCCGTATGGAATAGATACATAAACTTATTGCAAGCACGTCTTTGATAGTTTTGCAAAAGTTCGTATAATTTTCCTCTTGGAAAAGGCTGAATGGTTCCCGTGAATACTTCCTTCGCATATATGCTTCATATATTATTTGATCTTGCTTGTGCTTACATGAATTTTTTCTCGTATAATAAAAATGCGACCAGTGACTGAATCTTCATGATGTAATAAGCTGTTGCCGATATTTTGGGAAATGAATACAGCTTTAATTTGATCTCACAGACTGTATTGTCAAGTGTAGAAGAAGATAATGTAGGTAGCATTTGACGTCAATCGATGAGTGTCATTGGGATAATATCTGTCGCTTGAAATGACTGTAATTCACATCGTTGTGCATATTATATTGTTCAGTAATGAATATTTCAGACAGTTGTCAATTTGCCATCAGTAAGCAGTGCAGTACCTGTTCTGTGGCATTCTTATCTTGTGTGATTAGCAATATTATTGATTTACTTGTAATTATGGTAGCGTATATCGAACGAAAAGATCTGTTCTTCTTACCAAGGCAAACGAGTAATAGGAGTTGTCGTTAGCGTGCTCATTTTGATCAATTGAATGATAGCGTTACTGATCCTTGTTTTGGCGACCACTACGGAAGATGTACGTTTTGTTCGGAACGCTTTGTGCTGGGTTTGATTATATGAAGATCAAAGGGAGAAGGCTGATTATCTTCTTGACAACATCCTTTAAGTGTTATAAAAACTACTGGATATGAAAAAGAATATTTTTATCACAAGTTCTAACAAATTTTCTTTACGTTCTTATCTTTACTAAGATAATACAAAAAAAAAGAGTCATTTCTCTGGTGAATCGTTTCGAAGCTCCTATTCTTTAGTTGAATTTGCACTCGACAGAATATGGATCATCATTTTATCAATATAATCCTTGTTGGCTTAGCTTTTATGATTCTATTTACAGCTTTTCAAGCGACAGGCATGATCGCAGTAAGTTCCTGTGAATTCATTCATTCGTATGATCAATTTCTATACACTCACAGCCAAGTGTTCTTGAGGGTGTGAAGAATGACACAGTTAATGGAACGAGTTTTCAAGGAAGTGGTTACATCAGGTAAGTGTATAAGTTCGACCACATTTTTCTATCATGAAAATGGGACTAGTTGAACTTCATTATCGTTTCTAGCCTTGCGATTGTTTATACGTTATTTACTATTGCAAATATATTTGCTCCTGTCGTCGTATCGATATGTGGATCGTCCATATCGATGTTTATTGGCGGAATTACTTGTTTGTTCGTAAACGATAGCTAAATATGTATTCAAATGTTCACTTTGATCTTGTAGCTTATATGTTCTTTCATTCATTTCGCCGATGGTTTGGTCGTATTATCTAGTCTCGATTCTATTCGGAATTGGTGCCGCTATTCTTTGGACAGCACAGGGTGTTTATCTATCGAGAAATTCTAACGAAATGACGATAAGTCGGAATACAGGTGTATTTTGGGCAATGTATCAATCGAGGTTAAGTAGATTGAATGTTAACGAACCGACAACTTGCTTTTTTAGTCTCATTCCAGGTAATCTATACGTGTATTTATCTATTGATACAGAAATGATTACTCGATCAGTACGATATCCATTATTCACTGTGTTTTCCATCGTTTCTGCTCTTGGAATCGCTTGTTTCGGTTTGGTCATTTGGCGAACTTTTAGTGAACGACGACGAGTGAATTCGGAGTTATTGAAAAACGAAGAGAAAATCAGTTGCGTCGATATCGTGGAAACATTAAAGATAGCACTTCGACTTCTAAAAACTCGAAATATGCTTCTTCTTCTAATACCGTTTGGTTATACTGGTAATCTTCTCCACTGGTGACAAGAAAAAAATATTTTTCTCAATATTCCGTAGGTTTTGCCTTAACTTTCTTTCAAACTGTTTATCCAACATGTATTGGCCATTTGATCAAATATGGAGGTGAGATTTTCGGGTGATTTGACAAGAGGTTGGTTTTGTCTTTTCTACAGACAAACGTAAACGATTGATTGGCCTCCATGGAATCCTTGTTGGAGTTGCAGAAATATTTGGCAAGTTACATTAAGTATAGATGATTGAATCGAGTATGTGTGTAGGTGGTGGGCTGTTTGGATTTATCACCAAGCCGAAAACATCGTTAGGACGTGTTCGAATTGTATTTGTCGGTTTCATTGTGCAGCTTGTTTTTTATTATTTGGTTTTCATTAATTTTCCATCAGATGCACCAGCAAACGAGACAAATAAAGAAACATATTTTAATTATAAGTGAGTGGGCTCTAATCTTTACAGAAGTTTGAAGAAAATATGTTTTAGATTATTGATAAGTCAGATTCTGACTTTCGTTGGCTCGTTTCTGATTGGTCTCGGCGATTGTAGTTTCCATACTCAAGTTGTTACTCAAATTTGATTTCTAATGAGATATTTCATTGACTTTCTCTTTTAGCTATTTAATGTCTTAGCTAGTCAGTACAAAAACACGAGTGCGTCTGCTTTTGCTTTGTTTCAATTAGTTCAAGTATGATACAATTTCATTGTTGATTTGATTTCATATTCATTTATTCAGGGTGGAACATCGGCTGTCGCTTATGTTTATGCATCAAGTCTTGCTGTGGAATACCAGTTACTAATTTTAGTCATTACTTTGCTGTTAAGCACAATTGCTTTCTTTGTTGTTTTGTTTTCGAATGCAAACAATGATTTGGATGAATCATCTTCGTTAATTATAGGTTGACAAAGACACTGTTGCTATTTACACACACTCTATTGACCCTCAGACAACGATATATGTCATCGATTCTTTCATCGCTTAGCTTATTGACATTTTAGTACACTTGCAAAAAAGAAAATGTATTAAAATTGTCTTGCCAGACTGCTACCCCCTACATGGCGTTCTTTTAAAGGTCCACGGTAAAAAGCATTTGATACACCACCAATTGACAGATGAACGGCTTTTACGCCAACGATATAGGCTGTACAGGAGCCTTGGAGAGTTGCTCTCGCAACTTCAGCAGCACAATGTGCACCATCAAACATCCCGGATCCATGACATTCAAGCTGCAATACATTTTGTACTTTGCCTTGAAGCTTCAATGAGCCAGAGCCATGTAGACGCACTTGGAGACTATTGACATCCACTGCTAAATTTACATTTGACGAACCGTGGAGAAAAAGTTGTAGCGTGTCGGCCGCTGAAAGAAGCGTATTGGTGGACACGATTTGTCCCGAACCGTTCGCGGTTAAGCAACGTAAGCTGGGCATTTGAATGAAAACTTTCATAACAGAATAGCTGCAGCTACCAAGTCGTATGCCGAGCGTCTTATTTTCAACCACAGTTTGAATGCATCTTGAGGTGTGAAGACTCTCATACGTTTCAATCTCCACCACTGATTGTTTGTCATACGAATGACTCAATTGAACATCGAACCCACCATCAAGTGTGATACAGTCAAAGCTACTCACGGGATAGTGTTTTCTTTGAATTCTATCACATGCATTGGTTGCATAGTTTCCGTTATTAATAATGCTTACATGAGAACCACTATTACTATTGATGCATATGTTGTTGACAGATGAGTGAGAAAATGGTGTGGACATTCGTTGATCTTCTCCGATTTTACGTGATACTTTACTGTCTTCAACAAACGGCGGTTTTAACAGTTGCACTGGAGGATTTTTTAGTTCTTTGACATGGATGATGTGTAGACCAGGAGCTGGCGACAATTTGCTCGCTACGACTAACTGGGTGGCTGGCAAGAGTAAAACTTCGTCTTCTGCTTCATAGAATGAATGATTTCTGATAAATTTTCCATTGTAGCATTCAACGTTAAAGAGTGTTCGCGTTCCGCTTTTTGTCAAAAACTGTTCGCTTTGCAAAACATCCAATGATTTTGTGCAACTGCTAAATCCCCACCAGACAACGGTGTCACCTATGTTTAATTTCTCGCTAAGATCAGCATTGACTCCCCGATAAACACACATCTTCTGATTCGGCAACTTCCATAAGCCCGTGAGAAGTAATTTCAAAAATGGAAACCAAATTTTGAGCCTTCTTCGACTTTCAGCGCGAAGCGTTTGATTGAGAACCAAATATAGACTTTCATTGCTGTTGTCACCCTCCATTGTGTACAACTGGAGAGCTGCACTCTCATTCTGCGTCAGACCGTCCTTTGGCTCTTTACAGTTTTGTTTCGCTATATAAACCTTGGTGTCAATATCTTCGTCGAGAAGATGCTTCACTGGTGTAATGGCTTCTTCTAACGATACCAGTGGAGTTGTCTGGTAGCCACTAATAGGAAGCAGGTATTTTCTTGGTTCATTTTCGACGTCAGAAAAACGCTGGTGAGGAATTCGAAATGATGCTGTTGAATGTGAGGTAGTCATTATTTGTCGAACAACGCATGAAATCTTTATCGAAGCAAAACAAAAGATAAATTCAAGTTTTATCGTAAATGTTAGCTTTTATTTGCATAAGGAAAGGAAAGAAAACAAAACACTAAGTTGGTAAAAACCTACTTACGTGATCCATTATATTTATATAAGCCGCTGCACTGTGGAAAATGTATGACTTACGCTAAAGGTTGGTATGGACTATCTGCAGTTTTTAGCATACTATCAGTTTGGATCTATTACGCCATACTATAACAAACCCATTTACATCGGCTAGATGTCGTCAGAGCCGAAGTGATTGGCGTAAGCGATATTCCGTCAGGTAAAACCAAAGAAAAGTTGCTTAATGATGTTCTCTTTTTTTAAATCGATTGAATTTTAACAAATTCTTGTCAACGAATTCATCTTGAGTATATGAAATGTCGTCGAATTTGATTGTTTAAAATTCTAAATACCGTAAGTCATGAATTATATAATTGAATGGCATAATCTATATGTTCTACATTGGAAAACGTTTCACATAATCATAGGAAGTGCTGCTATTGAAGAAAATGATTATATAATGGCATACATAAGCGTTTGATTTTTCTCTTGATTAACTGACATACTTCATATTTTGAAACGAGCGATCATATGCACTCATTCTTTGTCTCTAAGAACGTCAGATTTGTTGTCAGTTCGGCGCTTCAATTCTGATTGTTAAATGAATATTTCTAGTTATAGACTTGACATTTCTTCGCTAGTTACACTGTCGGTCAATGTACGTGATTTAAAATTAGAATAATACTGAATATCGGCTGGAATTGCATCGACATGAAGTTTATGTACGCTTGTATATGATTGCGTTTAAGGTAAACTGCCACTCTTCGACGACAACCCTCTCATGTCTCGTGCGACACATTGCTGATCATCAGTAAGAGCAGGAGTATAAACAGTGATACATTAATGGCGAATAAAAAACGTAATATATCTGATTATCACGTGAAGCAGTAAATGTAAGACCAGATGTCTCTAATGAAGTGGTGAACTTTATCCAGTGGTCCCTCGTTTTCACATATAGTTTCAATCGAGGTAGACATCGACAAATATATACCAGCCCACAGGATCCAATGTGTATTTTTAATGTTAAACGTTCCATATTGGCTGTTGGATATTGTATATCGTAATTGCCTCGAGAACTCTCGTTAGCCTCTAGTATCAGATGTTTCAATGAAAATGACAGAAAAATAAGACGAAAGTTATCATATGCAATCCACGTGTTTGTCACATGTAATTGATAAAGTTGACCTTTAAGATTTAACTTATGACGCAATTCTAATTAAAGACTTTTCGTTCTGTACGTCAAACACTTTCAATATGCGCAGATTAAGGAATTGATCAAGATTGAATTACATAAGAAACTTTGATACTTGATTAGTTACATGCGGCTGCATTCTACATTCAAATGAATGATCACATTCACTAATAGAAAACTTTTTGAAATTCGATCATGTTTATTATTTAATCTTAATTATGAGAATTAATTCTGCTGGTAGAAGTTCGAATTGAGCTACTATTCTCGTTATATTCTGTGATTTGTTTACATGATATTCTTCCGAATGGTATACGATGCGTTTCTATGAGTATGACGACGAAGAAGTGAAGTTTTTCATTCTTATTTTTCGTATGTCATTTAATGGCTTTTACCTATACAGCTTCTCATTTCTCATTTATATGATAAGACCTTGAGATGTGTTTGGAGAGAAATCGAAGGTTGATGCAACAGAATGTAAAAGTTTTTTAATCAATCATGATGAAATTATTTAATGTTTCGGTGAAGTTCGAAATGACATGAAACACAGTTTTATTAATAAAATAAAAAATAAAAGTGAATAATCAGCAGCAGCGGCAAATGACCGATGTCTCGTTGCTAATAAACGTCTTGTTAAATCTAGACGAAATCAAATTTAAGACGTTACTATGCACAAGTATATCTTATTTACTTCAACTTGTTATATAGATTGGGTTGACTATACAAAACGGCTAAATATCCAAGAAATTCAAACGAAAAAGCTTGTCAGCGTAATCCCCATAGGGCTATAACATGAGAAACTCACATCCTTGTGTTTTGAGAACGAGAGTGTAGACGGCAACAAGTCGGACCAGAGCCATGACCAGTTGAATAAAGTACAACATCAGAAACGATTTCATTTCCACTGTCCAGGTGAATGCCGATGTATTCACTAATGTATGAAGCTATTGCAATGAAAGATTTATATCTGGATTAAAATCACTGATCGTGATCCATGCGGACCAACATTGAAAGCAAACTGTATAAAGCGTTTGAGTTGTGAAACTTGCGTTTTCATAATCATGGATATTAAAATCATCCACGGTCACTGCTTGCGAATCAGAAACATCTCCGTTTGAATATTTTTCGACAAGAACAAAGCTTCCATTGCAAATGTCAATAAGATTTTCCGGTGAAGATCTTATCATCTGAGAAAAACGACTAAATCACAGCTTAACTCCTAAACAGTAACCAGATCAAGTCGATCATGGTTATTAAAAAGTCATGAACATCGAATTTCTGATTTTTCATCTTGAATTTATCAAATCTAATACATGAACAAGATACTGATTAACGCGATAAACTCTAGTCGCTGTCTAGTTGCAGCTGATCTGGATTAATGATCGAATACAAGAGAACACTCAATGAAGCGTATTCTCTATAAATAGTCAAGCAGAGTCACTGAATGAAACGGCAAACTGTTTTTCCTCCGCAATTAATAGTTTCTTTTTGTTTATTCAAACAATCAATTAAATGTTTATATTTGTTGAACTGTTCGTATTTCTTTCCGTCGCTTGCTTTTCAGCTTCAAGCCGTAAATAGGGACCTCGATAGATAAACATCGTAGCTGCACTAACAACAAAAAGACAAAGCATAAAAATCGACGCCGGGGTTAAAATCTGCCCCGATTTGTATTTCGGTTGTAATTTGATCAAATAGCCCAGAATGAAAATAAAAATTCCTCCAAGAACATTACCCAAACACATCAATAACCCCGTTGACCATTCTGCACGAATCGGATGTGTACATTCGACAGCACATTCGAATGACACAGGCAATAACGGCAGTAGAAAGAAACCCATTAGACCAATAGAAACCGCTAATGGGTAATACTGACTTGGTCGAAGAATTAAAACAAAAAATATTCCCGATCCACATGCACCAATTAACAAAATCTTCAAAATTAAACGATATGCATGAGTTTTATCCATGANATCGGCTGTACGAGATTATGGTAGTCATCGTGTGAAGTTTTCTGTTCCTGGATTCTATGTCGGATGTTACGTGATCGAATCACTACTCAGATCCAACTTGCAGTGTTTTTATAATCAATCATGTGTCAGCACACTACAATCGTATTTTACCGGAGTTTTACAATTTAATGCAACAGCACTTGACTCATCACTAACAAGTGAGTATTCACAAAACTCAACAATACAAGATCTTCTGAATTACTTGATGGTAGAAGAATGGGATATAAGAGGAAATTATACAAGTTACTACGCTGATTGTCGACCGTCACAGTGTGTCTATACTTACACTGTCAGAAACAGTATTTTATACATAGCGACCACATTGATTGGACTGCTTGGTGGTTTGATAACGTTTCTAAGACTTTTTGTACCACGAATGGTGAAGTTCTTCATACGCTGTGTCCTAAAACGCAAAAGGGTAGTTCCGTATGGAATAGATATATAAACTTAAACAAGCACCTCTTTGATAGTTTTGCAAAAGGGCGAATGGTTTCCGTGAATACTTTCCTCGCATATATACTTCATATATTATTTGATCTAGCTTGTGCTTACATGAAATTGCTTTCGTATAATAAAAATGCAACCCTTGAATGCATCTCCATGATGTAATAAGCTGTTTCCGATATATTTTTGGAAATGAATACAGCTTTGATTTGACCTCTCAGACTGTATTGTCAAATGTAGCAGAAGATAATGTAGGTGGCATTTGACGTCAATTGATGCGTGTCATTGCGATAATATCTGTCGCTTGGAATGACTGTAATTCGCATCGTTGTGTATATCATATTGTTCAGTAGTGAACAATTCAGACAGTTGTCAATTTGCCATCAGCGAGCAGTGCAGTATCTGTTCTGTGATCAGCATTAGTATATCGAACGACAAGACCTTTTATTCTTACGGTGGCAAACGAGTAATAGGAGCTGTTGTCAGCATGCTCATTTTGATCGATTGGATAATAGCGTTACGGATCCTTCTTTCGGAGACCACCACGGAAGATATCGTTTTATTCCGAGCGCTTTGTGCTGAGTTTGATTATATAAAAATAAAAGGGAGAAGGCTGATTATCTTCTTGATAACATCCTTTAGGTGTTATAAAAGCTACTGGATATGAAGGAGAATATTTTTATCACAAGTTCTAACAAATTTTCTTTACGTTCTTATCTTTAGTAAGATAATACAACAAAAAAGAGTCATTTCTCTGGTGAATCGTTTTGAAGGTCCTATTCTTTAATTGAATTTGCAATCGACAGAACATGGATCGTCATTTTATTAACATAGTCCTTGTCGGCTTAGCTTTTATGATTCTATTCACAGCTTTTCAAGCGACAGGCATGATCGCAGTAAGTTCCTGTGAATTCATTCATTCGTATGATCGATTTCTATTTACTCATAGCCAAGTGTTCTTGAAGGTGTGAAGAATGATACAATTAATGGAACGAGTTTTCAAGGAAGTGGTTACATCAGGTAAGTGTATAAGTTCGACTACATTTTTCTATCATGAAAATGCAGGGAGTAGTTGAACTTCATTATCTCTTCTAGCCTTGCGATTGTTTATACGCTATTTACTATTGCAAATATCTTTGCTCCTGTCGTCGTATCAACATGTGGATCGTCCATATCGATGTTTATCGGCGGAATTACTTGTTTGTTCGTAAATGATAGTTAAATATGTATTCAAATGTCTACTTTGATCTTGTAGTTTATATGTTCTTTCATTCATTTCGCCGATGGTTTGGTCATATTATCTAGTCTCGATTCTATTCGGAATTGGTGCCGCTATTCTTTGGACAGCACAGGGTGTTTATCTATCGAGAAATTCTAACGAAATGACGATAAGTCGGAATACAGGCGTGTTTTGGGCAATGTATCAATCGAGGTTAAGTAGATTGAATGTTAACGGACCGACAACTTGCGTTTTTAGTCTCATTCCAGGTAATCTATACGTGTATTTATCGATTGATACAGAAATGATTACTCGATCAGTACGATATCCACTATTCACTGTGTTTTCCATCGTTTCTGCTGTTGGGATCGCTTGTTTCGGTTTGGTCATTTGGCGAACGTTTAGTGAACGACGACGAGCGAATTCTGAGTTACTGAAAAACGAAGAGAAAGTCAGTTGCGTCGATACTGTCGAAACATTAAAGATCGCACTTCGACTTCTAAAAACTCGAAATATGCTTCTTCTTCTAATACCGTTTGGTTATACTGGTAATCTTCTCCACTGGCGACAAGGAAAATATGTTTTTCTCAATATCTCGTAGGTTTTGCCTTAACTTTCTTTCAAACTGTTTATCCAACATGTATTGGCCATTTGATCAAATATGGAGGTGAGATTTCGAGTGATTTGACAAGAAGTTGATTTTGTCTTTTCTACAGACAAACGTAAAAGATTGATTGGTCTCCATGGAATCCTTGTTGGAGTTGCAGAAATATTTGGCAAGTTACATTAAGTATAGATGATTGAATCGAGTGTTTGTGTAGGTGGTGGGCTATTTGGATTTATCACTAAGCCGAAAACATCGTTAGGACGTAGTCGAATTGTATTTGTTGGTTTCATTGTGCAGCTTGTTTTTTATTATTTGGTTTTCATTAATTTTCCATCCGATGCACCAGCAAACGAAACAAATAATGAAGCATACTTTAATTTTAAGTGAGTGAGTTTTAATCATTGTGGAAGTTTGCAGAAAACGTGTTTTAGATTATTGATAAGTCAGATTCTGACTTTCGTCGGCTCGTTCCTGATTGGTCTTGGCGATTGTAGTTTCCATACTCAAGTTGTTACTCAAATTTGATTTCTAACGAGATATTTCATTGACTTTCTCTTTCAGCTATTTAATATCTTAGCTAGTCAGTACAAAAACACGAGTGCTTCAGCTTTTGCTCTGTTTCAATTAGTTCAAGTAGGATACAATTTGATTTTATTCATTTGATTTCATATTCATTTATTCAGGGTGGAACATCGGCTGTTGCTTATGTTTATGCATCAAGTCTTGCTGTCGAATATCAATTACTAATTTTAGTCATTACTTTGCTGTTAAGCACACTTGCTTTATTTGTTGTTTTGTTTTCAAATGCAAACAATGATTTCGATGAAGCATCTCCGTTAACTATAGGTTGACAAAGACACTACTGCTATCCACACACGCACTCTTTTGACTCTCAGATAACGATATATGTCATCAATTCTTTCATCACTTAGCTTATTGACACTTTAGTACACTTGCAAAAAAGAAAATGCATTAAAATAGTCTTGCCAGACCGCTACCCGCTACATGGCGTTCTTTTAAGGGTCCGCGGTAAAAAGCGTTTGACACACCACCAACTGACAGATGAATGGCTTTTACGCCAACTATATAGGCTGTACAGGAGCCCTGAAGATTAGCTTTTGCAACTTCAGCAGCACAATGTGTACCATCAAACGCCCCAGATCCATGACTTTCAAGCTGCAATATATTTTGTACTCTGCCTCGAAGCTTCAATGAGCCAGAGCCATGTAGACGCGCTTGTAGGCTATTGACATCCACTGCTAAATTTACATTTGACGAACCGTGGAGAAAAAGTTGTAGCGTGTCGGCCGCTGAAAGAAGCGTATTGGTGGAAACGATTTGTCCTGAACCGTTCGCGGTTAAGCAACGTAAGCTTGGCATTTGAATGAAAACTTTCATAACAGAATAGCTGCAGCTACCAAGTCGTATGCCGAGCGTGTTATTTTCAACCACAGTTTGAATGCATCTTGAGGTGTGAAGACTCTCATGCGTTTCAATCTCCACCACTGATTGTTTTTCATACGAATGACTTAATTGAACATCGAACTCGCCATCAAGTATGATACAGTCAAAGCTACTCACGGGATACTGTTTTCTTTGAGTTCTATCACATGCATTGGTTGCATAGCTTCCGTTATTAATAATGCTTACATGAGAACCACTACTGTTATTAATGCACATGTTGTTGACAGATGATTGAGAAAATGGTGTGGACATTCGTTGATCTTTACCGGTTTCACGTGAATCATTACTGTCTTCAACAAACGGCGGTTTTAGCAGCTGTACTGGAGGATTTTTTAGTTCTTTGACATGGATGATGTGTAGACCGGGAGCTGGCGACAATTTGCTTGCTACAACTAACTGAGTGGCTGGCATGAGTAAAACTTCGTCTTCTGCTTCATAGAATGAATGATTTCTGATAAATTTTCCATTGCAGCATTCAATGTTAAAGAGTGTTCGCGTTCCGCTTTTTGTCAAAAACTGTTCGCGTTCCGCTTTTTGTCAAAAACTGTTCGCTTTGCAAAACATCCAATGATTTCGTGCAACTGCTAAATCCCCACCAGACAACGGTGTCACCTATGTTTAATTTCTCGCTAAGATCAGCATTGACTCCCCGATAAATACACATCTTCTGATTCGGCAATTTCCATAAGCCCGTGAGAAGTAATTTCAAAAATGGGAACCAAATTGTGAGCGCTCTTCGACTTTCAGCGCGAAGCGTTTGATTGAGAACCAAATATAGACTTGCATTGCTATTGTCACTCTCCATTGTGTACAACTGGAGAGCTGCACTCTCATTCTGCGTCAGACCGTCCTTTGGCTCTTTACAGTTTTGTTTCGATATATAAACCTTGGCGTCAATATCTTCGTCGAGAAGGTGCTTCACTGGTGTAATGGCTTCTTCTAACGATACCAATGGAGTTGTCTGGTAGCCACTAATAGGAAGCAAGTATTTTCTTGGTTCATTTTCGACGTCAGAAAAACGCTGGTGAGGAATTCGAGACGATGTTGTTGAATGTGAGGTCGTCATTATTTGTCGAACAGCGCATGAAATCTTTATCGAAGCAAAAAAAATAAATTCAAGCTTTATCGTAAATGTTAGCTTTTATTTGCACAAGGGAAGGAAAGAAAGCAAAACAGTAAGTTGGTAGAAGCCTATTTACGTGATTCATTCTATTTATATGATCCGTTGCACTGTGAGACATCCATGACTTACGCTAAAGGTTGGTATGGATTATCTGAAGTGTTTTAGCATACTATCAGCTCAAGTCCATTACGCCATACTACAACTAACCCATTTACATCAGCTAGATGTCGTCAGTGCCCAAGTGATCGGCGTGAGCGATATTCCGTCAGGTAAAATTAGAGAAAAGTTGCTTAATGATGTTCTCCTTTTTTAAATCGATTGAATTATATATATATGTTCTACATTGGAAAACGTTTCACATAATCATAAGAAGTGCTATTGAGGAAAATGATCATATAATGGCATACATAAGCGTTTGATTTTTCTCTTAATTCACTGACATACTTCATATTTTGAAACGAGCGATCATATGCACTCGTTCTTCAGATTTATCGTCAGTTTGGCGCTTCAATTCTGATTGTTACATATTCATCATCAGTAAGAACAGGACTATAAACAGTGATACACTAATGGTGAATAAAAAATTTAATATATCTGATTAACACGTGAAAATCCGATGCTAGCTGCATTGATATGATCAATCATGGGTGTGTAATTATGTATTAGCAATGAATGTAAAACTAAATATCTTCAATGAAGTGGCGAACTTTATCCAGTGGTCCCTCGTTTTCACGTATAGTTTCAATCGAGATAGATATCGAGAAATATATACCAGCCCACAGGATCCAATTGTATTTTTAACGTTAAATGTTCAATACTGGCTGTTGAAAATTTTATATCGAAATTGCCTCGAGAACTCTCGTTAGCCTCTAGTATCAGATGTTCCAGTGAAAATGATAGAAAAATAAGGCGAAAGATATCATTATGGAATACACGTGCTAATTGTCATATGTAATTGATAAAGTTGACCTTTACGATTTAACTTATGACGCAATTCTAATTAAAGATTTTTCGTTCTGTACGTCAAATACTTTCAATATGCGCAGATTATAGAATTGATTAAGATTGAATTACATAAGAAATTGTGATACTTGGTTAAGCTACATGCGGCTACATTCTACATTCAAATGAATGATCACAGTCACTAATAAAAAGTTATTTAATCTTAATTATGAGAATTAATTCCACTGGTAGAATTTCGAATTGAGCTGCTATTCTCGTTATATTCTATGATTTGTTTACATGGTATTCTTCCGAATGATATACGATGCGTTTATATGAGTATGACGACGAAGAAGTGAAGTTTTTCATTCTTATTTTTCGTATGTCATTTAATGACTTTTATCTATACAGCTTCTTATTGATGCAACAGAATGCAAAAGTTCTTTAATCAATCATGATGAAATTATTTAATCTTTCGGTGAAGTTCGCAATGACATGAAACACAGTTTTGTTAATAAAATAAAAAATAAAAGTGAATAATAATCAGCAGCAGGAAATGACTGATGTCTCGTTGCTAATAAACGTGTTGTTACAGCTAAAAGAAATCAAATTTAAGAGGTTACTATGCGCAAGTATGTCCTATTCACTTGAACTCGTTACAGATATTGGGTTGACTATACAAAGCGAGTAAATATCCAAGAAATTCAAACGAAAAAGCTTATCAGCGCAGCCCCTTTAGGGCTATAACATGCGAAACTCACCTTCTTGTGTTTTGAGAACGAGAGTGTAGACGGGAACAAGTCGAACGAGAGCCGTGAACAGTTGAATAAAGTACAACATCAGAAACGGTTCCATTTCCACTGTCCAGGTGAATGCCGATGTATTCACTAATGTATGAAGCTACTGCAATGAAAGATTTATATCTGGATTAAAATCACTGATCGTGATCCATGCGGACCAACATTGAAAGGAAACTGTACAAAGCGTTTGAGTTGTGAAACTTGGATTTTCATAGTCATCGATATTTAAAATCACCCACGGTCACTGCTTACAAACCAGAAGCATCTCCGTTTGAATATTTTTCGACAAGAATAAAGCTTCCATTGCCAAAATGTCAATAAGATTTCTCGGTGAAGATGTTACCATCTGAGAAAAATGACTAAATTACAGCTTAACTCCTAAACAGTAACCAGATCAAGTCGATCATGGTTATTAAAGTCATGAACATCGAATTTCTGATTTTTCATTTTGAATTTATCAAATCTATTTAGCTGCAGCTAATCTGTATTAATGAGCGAATACAAGAGAATAGTCAAGCAGAGTCACTGAATGAAAAGGCAAACTATTTTTCCTCCGCAATTAATAGTTTCTTTTTATTTATTCAAACAATCAATTAAATGTTTATATTTGTTGAACTGTTCGTATTTCTTTCCGTCGCTTGCTTTTCAGCTTCAAGCCGTAAATAGGGACCACGATAGATAAACAACGTAGCTGCACTAACAACAAAAAGACAAAGCATAAAAATCGATGCCGGGGTTAAAATCTGGCCCGATTTGTATGTTGGTTGTAATTTAATCAAATAGCCCAGAATAAAAATAAAAATTCCTCCGAGAACATTGCCCAAACACATCAATAACCCCGTTGACCATTCTGCACGAATCGGATGTGTACATTCAACAGCACATTCGAATGACACAGGCAATAACGGCAGTAAAAAGAAACCCATTAGACCAATAGAAACCGCTAATGGGTAATACTGACTTGGTCGAAGAATTAAAACAAAAAATATTCCCGATCCACATGCACCAATTAACAAAATCTTCAAAATTAAACGATATGCATGAGTTTTATCCATGATAATTCCGACTAAAAATGCACTGAATAGTCCAGCAACGATCACGACTGCACCGAAGATTCNGGCAATAACGGCAGTAAAAAGAAACCCATTAGACCAATAGAAACCGCTAATGGGTAATACTGACTTGGTCGAAGAATTAAAACAAAAAATATTCCCGATCCACATGCACCAATTAACAAAATCTTCAAAATTAAACGATATGCATGAGTTTTATCCATGATAATTCCGACTAAAAATGCACTGAATAGTCCAGCAACGATCACGACTGCACCGAAGATTCCAGCATCTTCACTCGAATATCCACTAGGTTGAATCAACTGAAACAATAACGTTGTTATGGAGTTGAACAAAGCCAAACCTAATGAAAAGCCAATTAACAATATCAAATACTGGTAATTTCTAAGTAAATTGGCTAAATCTTCTTTTAAATTAATGATTTGATGATGCTCTTCTGACGGCGATGGAGGTGTGGGAGGATCAGATTGAAATATCATCAACAATAACAATGTTGATACTAAAGTCAATCCACTTTCAATAATCAAAAGAACAAAGAAGTCTTTCCATGTCGGATTATCATTGATGATCAACGAAGGTACCAATGATCCAATGGCCAAACCTAACGGATTCGCCATCGAGCAGATCGCTGTGGCGATATCACGTTGCGATGGAGCAAACCAACGTGCAGCGAATAAAGCAGTCGAATTCAAAAAGAATGGCGCGGCTAACGCAGGAAAGATTTGACCGACGAGTAATGCTGCATAACCATATTCTGGAGTGATCAACGACAACAAACGAATGAAAATGCCAAGATTTAACAATCCACCGATGATCATCGTCATTCGCATGGACATTTTTCTAGATAACCAGATGGAGATGATCGTGCCGACTGGATAGAGAAACAGAAAAACGATTGCTAAGGTGTTGACTTGGGTGGCTGTGATGTGGAAGAATGTCGACGCTTGCGATTCGATCGGAGCGAATGTCATTCCGCTGATTGCATTGGTGAATGTGGATAAAATGTAAACAATTAATTGAATCCATCGAATTGTATACACACGATATTGGGTGATCTCATTGAGTGACGCAGTCGATTCGGTTCTCTCGGGCATTTTCAAAATATGTTTGTGTAATATTTAACAACGGTTATCACAGTTCTTATCTAACCTCGTGTAGGTAACAACACAAGAAGAAAAAATGAAACTAGAACGAAAGCATCAACCAAGTTACCTGTTGTAGTAGTTAAGATAGTCAGATATCGAAAAAGGATCTACTGCGGCAAAGTTTCTATTGAAAAGTCATCAAATTACAAAAAAATTGAACACGACTCGCTGATGTTCTATTTGAAGAAAATGTGATGGTATCTCTATCAACGAAAATTCCAGTCGATGTTTTTCACTCCGTCTTGATTGAAACAATCGAGTTTGACCAGTTCTTTGTCATCGTACATAATTAACTAATGATGCTCTTTAAAGTAGACCGTATATTCTTTGAAAATTGTGGCTAAAACCGAGAACGACAGTCAAGGATTCTTAATTTGTACTCAGAGATATCTCGAATAACTCCACGGAATTCAGGTCACAGGAACCAAACTGGTCAACATATTTATGCAAATGTTCTACTAGTTCAGTATTAAATTGATTTGTTCCAAGTTTTTCTCCTAGATTTGTAATGGTTTGGTATAAATTCGTTCGAATACGTGAGCCAGTTTCTGACAGATTCTCTCGCTTTCCATTCGTTTTCGTGTTCGAGCACCCACGGAAAAATTTAAAAGCAGATACCACTGATCGGTGCAGACTTTTCATGATGTTTGGGGATATATCGTTGAAGATCGGGATGAAATGTAAATTGATTGCAGTCTTTGAGGAGCATCGTCTTCCACAGATTCAAAAGACAGGTTTGATTTTATGTACTTAGAAAAACATGCTTATGAAAAATTGTAAAATTCCTTTTTATGCATACAGTTGAAAGAAAAGAAAACCGGTTTATAGAGGGTGTCAATGTGAATAAAGCAAATTCTCTCGTTCATTATATATCCACACCCATACCCACACCCTCGAATGCAAATACTGTCATACATGCCATCCTTACATTCATAGTAAGAACTACACAAGCTCACAATCTTTATAGTATATAGTGTAATTGTTTGTTATTTTTCATAATGGAATTAATAACGCGGTCGCCCATACGCTAACGTAGAATTCAATGCCTTATCATAAAATTCTTGAGGATTATTTTTAAATTCATCAGCAAGCGCATGATTCAAAGATCGACTATAACTGGGAATTGTGTCAATAGTACGAGTGACAGCTTCAATCAGGGTCGCAAGAGTCACAGATGGTCCCCAGCTTTCGCCAGGCAATGAATGTTGAAAACAACAACACGAATACCCATCGTTGTCAATGTCTGGATGATAGATAGGGTCGCAGAAGACTGTTTTAGGACACTGGAAGGGATATGTTGATGAGAGTGTAATTTCGATTAGAAATGACGCATGACAGTACGGCTCAGTTTGTGGTAAGATTCGGCCTTGAATTACAATGGCGTCCTTTGCATGACGCCGCGTCGTTGCTGCTGTACCGTTGAAACGTGGAAGGGGCTCGCCACAACGTAAAGAAAACCCTGGAAAACAATCGAGTATAAATTTGTTTTCAGCTTCTAGTTGTTCAATTTTCTTAAGTTCAACTTGTAGACGTCTTTGACGTAAGCCGCCAGTTTCTACAAAAAAAATGTCATTTGTATATAACATATAGTTTGAATCAAAACTGCTGTAAGCAGCCACCATCGAAACAGGTAGTTTTACCACATAAATGACAAAAACATGTTCTCAGTTTCTACACTACTAGTTATTGTCTGAATTTACCCTCATCCTCAAAATTAAATACCGCCCTGCTTCATTTCTCATATAAGACAATTCTAAAGCAACAAAAGAAGCTTACTTTTTAACAGATTAATCAATGTAGAGCCAGCACCTGTGAATGATTTCAGATTGGGGCACAAAAGCAGAAGTTTTTGATGATCGTCAGCCGTTTTCATATTTAGATGCAGATGGCAAAGAGTAGGTGAGCCAGTCCAGGTTTCATTGTATTCAAAATCTCCGAGACGAACTGCTGTACATGTTCGAAGTTGAGGAAAACCATTTGAAAGTATTACTTGGAACAAATCATTTACTGTTCGTCCGTTACTCTGGTCAGGAGTATGAAATACTACATGTACAAACAAAATTAAGTGAAAGAGGATGACACACTAAAGAGAGGAAAGAGTTGTTCACTTTCCTGAGAACGTGAACGACGGTAGCTGACTCGAATTTCGATCCCTGTACACTTTATTCATATCGAACTTTCCGAGATTAAATGCTTTCGAAGTAAATATCTAACTGACAGATCATTTGTTTATGACTTATGTGACTCACCAGCATAAAGATGTAAAGTTTCCAGCTTGGGAAAGTGTTGCGGGCGAATATCGTTGAATTGAGCAAGTGTACCATATTTTAGTGTAAGCGAACGTAGATTGATCAAAGAGGTGAAATCAACCGTTTTAGCATGAATAAGAACTAGGCGAACAATTGAGGCAGGAAAACAATGTAGATAGTTAATCGCATCGGTGTCATCATATTTCACCACATGACTCACAGTGATCATCGACTGAATGATTGAATTGATACGAGAGTTAAGATTAGAAAAGGTTTTACACAGCTCGGAAGATGACAAGAAAGTAAAGATTTCAGCCAAAATTTCAACTGGTAAATGTTCCAGCGACATAGTAGATGTACTCTGATCACTCATGATCATGAAACTTGTAAAATTGCGCGGCGTGTTCCGATTCTCCGTCTTTAAAAAGTGCTCTGATGCACAGTTATAAATTCTTCCCAACAGTGACTTATATGGGTTTTCTCTAAGCAGTATTACATGATGTATAAAGATAAGAGATGTAATTTCTTTACAATTTATGACGATATTATTTGTTTCGAACAAAAACACATACACTGCTACAGAATTATATATGCATATGACTCATCGGAAAAATACCATGACATGTTCTCCCGCAAACAAGTAAAAGCACACGTGCAGACACAGAACCGAAAGAAAAATGGACGTATATACGGATGATACATCAAAAATAATGCAGATGAAATAATTGGTACGAGTAAGTAAATATCTCATGTAAGGAGCTTCACGAAAGGATGAAATATTTTGTAATTGTCCAATAAAATGACGATAAAGAGAATGGTTGTGAATAAAGGAATTCTCTTCCTCATTATACATATACTCTTTCGCTTTCACATGAGAACGGAGAATGGGAAAAAGAATGATAAATGGGAGAAAGAGTGGGGAATATATGACTAGAAAAATCGCATCCGTAGGACACTAGACAGTCTCCTAGAAAATTCATCACAGAAAAACTTCGCTTCACTTAGAGAAAAATTTAATTTCAACGTCGCCTAGAAGCTGTATCACACGTATGTTTTATATTAAAGATAGACCCTTAGAAACCACATACTGCCACGAGTGTTCTTTTGAAGAATAATTAAATTGGAAGTCTTAACAATCAAACTAATTGAAAATGAGTTAAGGAATATCACTGACTATTTTACACAACAAATTGATCTTTATTAGTTCGATCTGTATTGACTTTGAAATCTCCAATCATATTTATTTTAGTCCATATATTTATCACTGGCAAAGAGTATGAATATAGTTACGATTCCATACATAAGAAATGTTCCCTACGCAAATTTCCTCCTGTATGATCACATGGTCATTGTCAACGGCTTTAGAAAGCACCGTTGATGTTCAGATTAGCGAGGTTTTACTATCCATGACATTTCTTTTACTTCTGCTGTTAATGATAGAGAGAATATTCCGATCAATTTTCTTTTCTGTTCTGTACTGTTTCTAAATTGAAGAAGGATACCATTGCTGACGGAGAAACGAAATAAAAACATTCGAATAATCATTTTCATTCTCTGTTTTGATAGGTTTGAGCGACATTACGTTCGTTTGTATGGCGTTTGCTGTTCCTTCTTCGCCAGGCGTTGAATTATGGTCGTGCAAATTTTGCTCCTTTTTCAATACGGTTTCAATTTCTTCGATTTGTCATATGTGTCAAAAAGACAACGGCGTAACTGTAACGGAAAACAGCACGGTTTGGTCATGTTGTACAAACGATCGAAGTAATCAAACCAATCAAGTTCGTCAGATCCAGATGTAGTTTTCAAGTATTGAGTTAATTTCTTTTAATCAAAATTTAGATTGTGTCTCACGATGAAATATCGGCGCCAGCCAAAGCAGAATTGCAGAGATTGATATCCACCAATATTTCTTCACTGAGTGCCATAGAACGACAAAAACAAGATGAAATCGATGCGCAATGTAAGCTTATTGATATTATTCAATACTGTCAAGAGGTAATACCACTATTGATCAAATAATAAAATGTATTATTAATCCTTCTCTTCAGAACCGTATTCATTTCGTCGATGATCAATTTCTACCATCGAATCGTTCAATAGGTGCTGAACCACCGATTGCATCTGTTTCGCAATGGTTGCGAATTCGCGAAATATCATCAGACAATGATGATTCGAAGGAACCATGGACAGTTATGTCAAATCCACACCCAAATGATATTGCACAAGGCTATTTAGGAGATTGCTGGCTTATGGCTGCACTAGCGCTTATTACTGAGCGACCAGATATACTTTCTCATGTTCTTCTTACACCAGTAATAAATGAAGAAGGTGTATACTTAGTGCGTATATGTCACAATGGACTGTGGAAAATAGTTCTGATTGATGACTGCTTCCCGTGCACCAAAAATAAGCGACTTGTATTTGCAAAGGTTAAAACATTATATCAATTGTAATTCTTTATCATTTTTGAGCTTTTAGGCTAGACACCGACAGCTTTTTGTTCCATTGATTGAGAAAGCATGCGCAAAAATATGGGGTTCTTACAACAAGCTGTCTGGTGGTTTCATGTATGAAGCATTACATCTCTTAACAGGTGCTCCTTCTGAGGAAATACAATTAAATGTGACAGCAAATGACGATAATGATAATAGAGACTTACTTTGGACCAAACTAGTTTCGGCATGTGAAGCCAAGTATGTTGATTAACTTTGCTTTTTCAACTCCTTTTCAATCAATGTTCATAGCCTTTTGATGGGCGCGTCAACGGGCAATACCGATCTACCTGACGAGGAATATCAAAGCGCACACTTGAGCCGTAGTCATGTATTTTCAGTACTGGCATATCATGCTCTATCGTATACAGAACGTTTCCTTCTAATTCGAGATCCTCATGGTAGTTCAAAATATACGGATGATTTTATATGCCCAGACATACTTCAACAACTTCAGCAGATTAAAACTGCTGAAACAATGAATGGAACTTTTTGGATGTCCTGGCTGGTATTTCAAAGATTTTTTGGTTCATTGATTATATGCGCATATCGCGATAATCTCTTTGACGTACGATACGAAGGAAAATTCACTAGACATTCTGCTCAAACAGTGCAAGCATACTATTTTCATGTCGAAAAGTAAGATCATTGTCAAAACATCTGTTCGTCATTATCTGATTTATATACCCAGGTCAACAACAATAACAATGGGCCTTTTTCATCAGCGCTCCGATCGAAAAAAATATAACTACCGACACACACAAGCGTTCGTACTTTGTGATATTTTAAACACTGAAATTGGTCAGCGAGAAACTGTTTTACGTAGTAGTCAAAGTGCCTATACTGAATGGACAGGAACATTATCATCAGGTGCTTACGTACTTATTCCATTTTCGACTTCCTACTGGCATCGAGAAACAAACAATGAGGAGGAGGAGGATGAAATTAACTACACAGTAGTGATTCATTCATCAGTTAAATTAGATATATTTATTACGGAGGAATCAGGGAAAGTATTGGCTGATTGTCTTATTGCTAATATCGTACAACATCATCGAATACTAAAGAAGGTAAAGATAGCGATGTGTTTCTTGCAAAGTTTTTTTTCTCTGTTTCAGAGTTCCAATTACGCCTTATATATTTCTGAAGAGCCTGGTGCCTATTTGATCCTGATTGTTGGCGAGAATACATCCACAGAGCATGCACTTAATGTTGATATTGATGTATCTAAATCGTTAAATATTCGCCATTCTCGCAACACATCAATTACGCTTGATTCGATTCCATCACAGCATCGTCAAATTCATCTTCTAGTCGATTATATCTATAAGAGTGGCGAAAAAACATGTTATCGATACACATATTTATGTACTCATAATGCAGCTGAACGACGACCAACACAACCCAACATAAGTAGAGCAGATGATATACATGCTGCACGACCTATATACCATGGAAAGAAATCTTAGCCTTTGAAAAACCACAGCGCATATTCTCTTTGACATCTATTTTTTATTCTTCTACGTAGATCGGATGATTTGAGTGTCTATAATTCAACAGTTTTCTCTTTGTGATGGATTTGTCCTTCCGCGTCACGCAAGGTCGAAGTAGAGAGAAACATTTTGTATCTATCTTTTTCGTTCCTCCTATGTTGGTATATTTCCATTGCATCCATTCTGTAATTTCGTGATATTAGCTAAAAAGCTTATCAAGCAGGGTAATTACAGCAAAATTTTTTATAATTGACGCGTTCGTATGTATTTAATGAGACCTTTTTTGCTTCTATCAACCGAATATTTTAAGAGTGAATCATGTGAAAATTTCGAAGTTCAAGAGAATGTGTCATTTTCTAATTACAAAACCATTTCAGTTTAGCGTCGATGTCGAAATGAAAATGAGAAATTATGTATTAGTTTTTGAAGGTAGTTCATATCAATCAATTAGCATGATAAATGATTCTTTCCCAAGTTGTATCCGAATTCAAGCCAGTTGTCGTTCCACATCTGTATCCCCCGCTCCCACCATCCGTGTGCCAACATAAACGATAAGCGTCATTTGTTGATCCTGTATCACAACTGTTTCGTTCTACAGCATCGGAACCATTTACAAAGCCCCATGAATATGAATCAGAATAATACCATCCAACACCATTGGCTATTTGAGTACAATTCTCTGTAGTACTACAATCATAAAGAACGTCAGCTCGATTACCCATTGCTGCTACAGTTAATTTCACAGTATTGACTTGCCGACATCCAAGTAGCAATTTGGTTTTGTTGCATGAAGATAATATTGTGGAAAGACTTGACTGATCCATGGTGTCTGCATACGTATTATTATAGCATAATGACCATCCACTTGGTAATGAATTTGGATCGAAATCTAGCTGGACTCCACTCTGAGTTAATGATACTAGAAATAGATAAGCACCGATATTATTAAAGTATGGAAATGTGAATTTCAGACCTGTAGCAATTGATATCGTCGTCGTCGTCGTCGTTGTTGTTGTTTTTTGTAGATCTAAATAAAATTGAAATTATCAAAATAACTATAAATTCATTAAAAACCTTGAATATATTGTGTAATTAGAGCACCAAGAGCAATTCCAGCACAAAGTGCACCGACAATAAATCCACATAAAATTGGCTTCCAACATCCTGCCCGAAATCGCTTCGAGATATCTTTGCCACTTTCTTCGTCGGTATTGAACTCACTTGTTTTACTCATTTAGATACAAAATAGGTCGATCGTTTGAAAGGTAGACCTATTTCTACTCGATAAGAATGAAAAATGAACTCAAAAGACGAAGAATACCTTTCAAGTATTCGAAAAATTGTAAAAGTAAGTTAGAATTTCTTTGTATTTGTAAAAACCCATAGGAATCAATAGAATGGAATCACAAGATTTGTTTTCAATATTGTAAGTAAAATAATTTCAAACTTATTTTTTTAAGCTCTTCATCTTTATAACATACAAATCAAACACAGGATCAAGATTGTATGTATACCTTGAGAAATCAAACATGCTGCAAGTTCATGTTGAAGAAAAGAGATAATGAACTCGAGTGCCTTTCTCGAAATATCTTATTGAGATATTCATATATACCAATGGAGGAATAGAATAAGTAAACAAATGTTCTTGAAAACAACAGCTGCTAGGATTCATTTATTCGAGATTCATTCTGAGTTATTAGTGCACAACATTGAAAATAATATCACCCTAGGTGGTAATGATACCATCTCAAGTGTCAACTCTAGTGAGCTTTATAGCACATGAAAGCCGGTGAAAATGAAGTTTTTTCGACTTTTTTCAGCAAACTTTTGTTTCATACTCTACGAAATACTTCATTTCTCCATGACTTAACTAATACGATTAGTGAATGATGTGACAACCATTAGAGCTCTTTACCGCATGAAGCCGAGATGGATGCGAACACAGAAGAGTTTCAAAAAATTCCGTGTCTGATAAAACATCTTCAATGTGTGTTTTGAGTGCCGTTTCCAGGTAACGGTTGTTGTCCGCTTTGAACAAGATTTTTCTCAATTTCGTCTTTCATTATTATGATCCAATGTGTTCTGGCACATTAAGATTCAGCGACTTTTCAGGCCAGATATAATTGTTCCAAAATTTAACGTCGTTACCTTGAAACAAATACTAGATCTTACTCGCATTAATGCGTGACGCTTCATGAGGATCGGTAACTTTTCTTCATTGTTGTAGAAGGTGAATACGTTCTTTGTCAAAATCACATCTCGAAAATATTCACCAGTTCGTACGGCTCGCCTTTGTCTCTGATCACATAGAGTAATCTCTTGCAAGTGAACATGATGAAAACTCTAATGCATGCTCGGCGGCTAACCATTTCTCGATACTTCTTGCTCTAATTCAATCATTTAGGTAATTTGGTCTGCGGACGGCTCATGACGGAAGATATTTAGGTGTTTAAGCCCTTTAAGTTCCATCTTTTGGCGGCAGGTACACCTTGATGAGGCATGAGGAACCTCAGGATGAGATATTGCATTTTCAAGATGCATACGAAAAGAGACTGAAATGAAAAAATGGCTGTTTTTAGAGAACTGCAGAGTATTCAGACGGATATCTGTTTTGATTTCATTCATTGCTTATGCAATGTGTTCGGGATTTAGAGTCACATCATAACTTCATAAAAAACGCTTCTTGCTATTTATCAGCCTATAAAATAATCAGACCCTCAAACTTCTCGTCTAGTGTCGTTGTATGTTGACATACTATTGATCATCTTTTTCGTATTCTCTGCTAATATATGATCACACCTGCTCGAATAGTACGACGTGTTCGTATCCTTTGTTTATATTTCCCGAGTTACTCCCTCTCTCTGTTCTTCTATCTGCCATGCTTGATTTGTGCGATGGGACCTAAAGGACTTAAACACCTAAACATGTTCCGTCGTGAGCCAATGGTTAACAGCTCTTCAGTAGAATCTACTACTCATGAAGAAATGTTAGAATTTTTTGGAATTATCATCGAAATGGGTTTGGTAGAAATGCTAAGAGTGGACTATTATTAAAGCAAAAGTAATTTATGTGGTTCCGAAGTTATTCAAAACACCACGTCAAGCGGCAAATTCGAATTACGTCTCAAATTTTATCATTTTTCGAACAATAAGAAAAAACATGAAGATGACGACAGATCGTTCAAGCCGAGATCACTTCTTGACGAAACGATGGTATCATGAAAAGGTAGATTTCTCCTCAAATCATATATTTCTGGTAAATCTCATAAATACGGAGCGAAAATATACAAGGTGGCGAGTACAACAGGATATAGTTGGAATCGTATGACTTACGTTGGTAAGTATTGTGCACTTTCTTGAACACATAATTGCTGCAAACGTAACATATCTATAATTTTCTTCTACATGATTCGCATAACAGTCGTTAAGCTTCATCATAGAAATAAGTTAGAAAAAAAAGAATGGGGCTCAGCAAGATTCCGGTTTTATTTATTTTCAATAAATTCAAACTAAAAGTCGATATATTTGCTTGCATTTGTTTTCTTCGTTCATAGAAAACATGATCTTATTCGGGTTTGAATTTGTGTACTTCTCTTTTGAAATTCGCCCATATAGAGTTTGGATGGCATAACAAATATAATGAAAGTAAGCAGAGGAGGAATACATGAAATAAAATATCCAATTAAAGGTAGCCAAGCATCATAAGATGAATTCATACAAGCCGCTATAAATGAGAGAATTAAACGTGGAAACGCTAAGAGAACTAAAGCAAGAGGTGCAATAAGTAGATGAAGATGGTCTCGAATTTGTTCTTTTAAAATTTGTCGATATGTGATTTTTTTTTGAGCTTTTTTTCGTTTTTGACTCGTGAAAAAAATAATAACCAAAGCTGATATTAAATTAAGAGCAAATGGAACAAAAAAATGAATTAAATTTATAATTGAATTAAATATACGAAATTTTGATGAATAACTTGCAATACACCAAATACGCTTCTCATTATCTTCTACTGCATCATCATCATTATCATGTAATATTCGTCGATGTATAGGATCATGTATTGCTGTAGTAATTGTCCAAAAAAGAAGTAGGATTATTATATATTTTGCCATTCGTTGACTTTTTTCCTTATTAAAACGAACACCTTGAAATGCTGTTAAAGCTCGTTCAGATGCAACACATGTATTTAAATATTGATCCATACAAAGACCAACGCGAAGAAAAAAATCTAATGTATAACATTGAATATTTAAAAATATTGAATTCGTCACATAGGTCATTTGTGCATGGACGAAAATACTAAATTTTAATAAGAATATAATTATGGTGAATAAAGTTGTTAATGATGATCCAAGTAGATAAACACCACAACCACTTTTTCGTAATTCACGACTTTGAAAAACCATTAGAGAAAGAATACCATTGATTATACCTAAAATTGTTATAATCATTGTCAATATTAAACTTAAATTTATAATGAATGGTTGACTTGTTAATTTAGCATAAGGTTGTATATGGTAACCAAGAATTGCATCAAGTGATAAACCAAATAAATGTGAATTGAATTGGCATCGTCTTCCATGAAAACATTTTGGACAAACACATATTGAGTTTTTCGGACATTTGAGGCCATCTTGAACGCATTTTCCACCATTTTCACAATCACTTAAATCTTGACAGTTGACTGATGTACGACTATCAAAATTAAAACAATTACTCAAACGTTTATTGGTAAAATTATAGCATAGACAAAAATATGTATCATCATAAAAACAATTTAGATCCGGTGCATATTGTTCACATGGAATTTGAAAATATTTTACACGACGAAATGGATGCAATGAGAGAATTGTTTCGTTCAAGATTTCACGTACATGTCTACAACGATATGATGGCAGAATGATTTGATTATATGTTTTTATAGACGAATTGTATGAATCTTGAACAAGAACTAAATAATATTTATCCATTAGTTGAACAAATACAATACTAAAAGCGTTTGACCAATAAACAGAAACGTCTTTTTGATAAAGAGATACTCTCTGCACAACTGAACTATCAGCTAAAAACCGTTCACTTAAAGCTGGTGGACTCATAAAATGAATAATGATCGATTGTGGTAAACTAATATCTTTATGGAATGATAATTTTAAATATGTTCCAGCTTTTTCACAATTGTCTCCACGAAACCCTTTTCGGCATAAACAATAATAAGTTTTACTCAATTGTAATTGTTTATCAAGGGGTATACATTGACCGTCATTAAGACACAATTTCTGTTCTTCCGAGCCACATGGATTACTATGAAGAAAACAACGAGCACCCCATTTATTGATTGGACAAACACATACAGATTGATTATTAGCCGTTACACCAATACATGATGAATTCAATGAACATTGACAAGTATGAGGAATTGTACAATATTTTCCATGCCATCCTTGATGACATTGACAAAATGTCCGATTTCCTCCATCATTTATATAATAATAGCAGTGACCATGTTGACATAATTGATCTGAACATCTTTTTATCTGATACGTCTTACTTGGAATAGTCAATTGAACAGCGATGCGATTAATAGGCAAGAAACGATACTTAATTGGAATATAAAAACTTCCACGATATATCAAAGAAATCTTTTCATAAACATCAATATGTATTGAATAATTTTTTGTATAGGAATATGTTGGATGTAATAAATAAATATTATATTTGTTTGAACAATCTTTAAAATAAAAGTATGTATTTTGTTCATATGAATAAATTGTTCGTTCATTATTATCGTTATCAATTAACGACACTATAAAAGTAAATAATACTCGTCGAGAATCAGAATGAACTTTAAATTGTAACGTTAAACTAACACGTTGTCGATCATATTGACATGTTTCACCATAATAACTCGGTGGACAAAGGCATGCTTCTACTGATGTTTTGTTTTTACTAGCCAATCGAACATGTAAAGGAAGTCCACGATGACAGCGTTGTTCATTTGAACGCGTAATTGAAAAGGCACGATCATGTTTTATTATCATTGAGGTTGTTTCGATTTGTTCAGTTGAACCTTTCTTTGGAAAATCCATGTGTTCCAGTAGAAAATAAGAGCCTTGGAGCTCATAATCTTCCTCGAGTCGTGTGCAAATAAAATTATGTTCGTCCGTATAAATTGATTCATATTTATAATCACAAATAGATTCGATTTTGGAAATATTTTCAAACAGAGAACAAAGTTGTTTATCTTCTCCATTGAGACATCGATTATTTTGCATACATAATTCGTGAGAATATTTACAAGTATCATTTTTGCAGTAGAAATTTTTCAATGGTACTGATTCTTTCAATCGACATAGTTTTGGTTCATCAGTAGCACCAACACAATCAATTTGACCATCGTTTGCCTTTTCTAACGGTAAACATCCTAATTTAAATGTTTCTGGTGAAATACATTGATGGAAATTCAATGGACATTTTATATCTGGATTACAATTGATTTCATCCGCACCATTCCAGCAATTCCACTTAGAATTACATCGTGTATAAATATTATTACATTCCCAATAATCACATTCAGTCTCATCTGTTTCATATTGATTATCAATAAGAACAGGTTCTAAATGTGGATAGCCATCACAAATAAAACGATATGGAATATCATCTTTCTGATCATACCATATGCCTGTTTCATCTGTACATGTATCTATTGAAGGCGAATTACAATCACAAATACCATTATCAACCAAATGAATTGAAATACATTTTTTACTTATTACACATTTAAACTGTCTTTTCTTACAGGTATCATTAATTAATGAACAATCTTCATCATCATGATTATTACAATCAACAATACCATCACATAATTGATCAATAGAAATACATTTTGATGAATTCAAACATTGATACATTTTAGAATTATCACATATTGCTGAATTATTATAAAACATTGTATTACATTGATAAAGTTGTTTATATATTTCGTCAATATAATATGTCATTTTTGAATTAATGTGTTCAGTAATAAAGAATATCGGAAAATCTTCAGGTTTTCGACATGTAAGATTATTAAATGAAATCACTGTTCGATTTGATAAAAAACCATCACAATATCGTTTATCATAACAGATATAATGAGGTGTAAACATATCATTTGATTTCAAAATAACTTTATCATAAAGAAAATAAATATGTGTATATGCAATAGGTGTTGCTGGTATTAGAAATTGTTGTGGACATGTCATATTGATGATATCAAGAAATGATATATTAAAAGGCTTTTCATCACATGCTGGATCAGATTGTTTTATAATATCGTAATGGCACTTGAATGCTAACCAACAATCATCGGTTATTGAACTTGGTGTTTCAATAAATATTTCTGCTGTTAATAACTCCATATTTCTTAATATAGTTGAACGTGCATGTTTATATCGAATATATTGTATATCTTCGTTATAAAACGTTGGATCAGACGTAATAGGTTTGATTAGAATGAATTTATCAGTATAATATCTATCAGATGCATCAAGACACTCAATATGATCATAGGAATAGTCTTGAAAAAAGTCCATCGGAATACATTGACCATTTTTACATTGATATTCATTCTCATTACACACATTAAAGTTAAGTTCCCAACAATATTTTTCGTCAATGCCTTCATTGAAACAATCAACGATACCATCACATATCTCATACCAACCAAGACATAGCGATGATAAACCACGATCACATTTTAAATCTGTATAACACGTGCGAGTTGTTGCTCGGTATTTGTTCTTATAGTATTCATAAACTAATTCACTTAATAGATTATGAGAAAATCGATATGTATCTAATGAATATTGACATTTTGGTCCAAAATAAGGTAATGCACATTTATAAAATATTGTAGATGGTTCTTTGATTTCGTTCAATTTCATTGAACGTTGATTATAATATTCTTGGTAATCTTCAATAAGTTTCATCGACGCTGACCAGAAATACAATTCTTCACTAGTAACACCTTGTTCATAAAGTGCAGCAAAAGTAAATTTTTGATCGTATTCATTTTCGACAACTTGCCATTTTGATGGCCATACAGTTAAACAATATGAAATTGTTTGATATAATCTAAGATTTGTTTCACTACTGGATGATACATAGAGACAATCATGTTGTAATGTAGTATAAACTTCATTCTCATTTATCCAATCGGTATGATGAAGATTAAAATGAGGAAGNCTAACGGATTCGCCATCGAGCAGATCGCTGTGGCGATATCACGTTGCGATGGAGCAAACCAACGTGCAGCGAATAAAGCAGTCGAATTCAAAAAGAATGGTGCGGCTAACGCAGGAAAGATTTGACCGACGAGTAATGCTGCATAACCATATTCTGGAGTGATCAACGACAACAAACGAATGAAAATACCAAGATTTAACAATCCGCCGATGATCATCGTCATTCGCATGGACAGTTTTCTAGATAACCAGATGGAAATGATCGTACCGACTGGATAGAGAAACAAAAAAACGATTGCTAAGGTGTTGACTTGGGTGGATGTGATGTGGAAGAATGTCGATGTTTGCGATTCGATCGGAGCGAATGTCATTCCGCTGATTGCATTGGTGAATGTGGATAAAATGTAAACAATTAATTGAATCCATCGAATTTTATACACACGATATTGGGTGATCTCATTGAGTAACACAGTCGATTCGGTTCTCTCGGGCATTTTCAAAATATGTTTGTGTAATATTTAACAACGGTTATCACAGTTCTTATCTAACCTCGTGCAGGTAACAACATAAGAAGAGAAAATGAAACTAGAACGAAAGCATCAACCAAGTTACCTGTTGTAGTAGTTAAGATAATCAGATATTGAAAAAGGATCTACTGCGGCAAAGTTTCTATTGAAAAGTCCTAAAATTACAAAAAATTGAGCACAACTCCCTGATGTTCTATGTGAAGAAAATGTGATGGTATCTCTATCAACGAAAATTCCAGTCGATGTTTTTCACTCCGTCTTGATTAAAACAATCGAGTTTGACCAAGTTCTTTGTCATCGTACATAATTAACTGATGATGCTCTTTAAAGTAGACCGTATATTCTTTGAAAATTGTGACTAAAACCGAGAACGACAGTCGAGGATTCTCAATTTGTACTCAGAAATTTCTCAAATAACTCCACGGCATTCAGGCCACAGAAACCAAACTGGTCAACATATTTATGCAAATGTTCTACTAGTTTAGTATTGAATTGATTCGTTCCAAGTTTTTCTCCTAGATTTGTAATGGTTTGGTATAAATTCGTTCGAATACGTAAATTTCAGTTATTTGTGATGATGTGAGCTAGTTTCCGACAGATTCTCTCGCTTTCTATTCGTTTCGCACACACTGATTTGAATATTTACCTACATTCCCTCAATAATTTCATCTGTTACTTGTATCTCTTTGGTATTTCTCAACAACAAAAGTGAATACAGACGACAACACTCATTTTCATGCTCAATCCTACTGATTATATACTACGAATTTCCAGATTTGTCTCATTGTTTCGAGTAAAATATTCAATAATTTGAAATGCACTGGATCTGATATGAAGAGTTTCACACGTATTTCCTCAAATGAATTCCTTCGCTGCATTTTCTCCTATCTCTAACCAGAGTCTTAGACACATATCTTCGGATATTCTAATTTCTCTCTACAATCGCATTTTATAATCTATTGATAACTTGATTATTATCCGCTTATCCTCCAGCTAAATAAACGTACTGATAAACATCTTCGTTTTCGTGTTCGAGCGTCCACGGAAAAATTTAAAAGCAGACACCACTGATCGGTGCGGACTCTTCATGATATTTGGGGATATATCGTTGAAGATCGCGATGAAATGTAAATTGATTGCAGTCTTTGAGGAGCGTCGTCTTCCACAGATTCAAAAGACAAGTTTAACTTTACGTACTGTGAAAAACATCCTTGTGAAAAATGGGAAAATTCCTTTTTATGCATACAGTTGAAAGAAAAGAGAGCCGTTTTATAGAGGGTGTCAATGTGGATAAAGCAAATCCTCTTGTTCATTATATATCCACACCCACCCTCAAGATGGAATTAATAACGCGGTCGCCCATACGCTAACGTACAATTCAATGCGTTGTCATCAAATTCTTGAGGATTGTTTTTAAATTCTTCAGCAAGCGCACGATTCAAAGATCGCCTATAGCTGGGAATTGTGTCAATAGTACGAGTGACGGCTTCAATCAGGGTCGCAAGAGTCACAGATGGTGCCCAGCTTTCGCCAGGCAATGAATGTTGAAAACAACAACACGAATACCCATCATTGTCAATGTTTGGATGATAGATAGGGTTGCAAAAGACTGTTTCAGGAAGCTGAAAGGGATATGCTGATGATAGTGTGATTTCGATTAGAAATGACGCATGACAATACGGCTCAGTTTGTGGTAAAATTCGACCTTGAATGACAATGGCATCCTTTGCATGACGCCGCGTCGTTGCTGCTGTACCGTTGAAACGTGGAAGGGGCTCGCCACAACGTAGCGAAAATCCTGGAAAACAATCGAGTATAAATTTGTTTTCGGCTTCTAGTTGTTCAATTTTCTTAAGTTCCATTTGTAGGCGTTTCTGAAGTAAGCCACCAGTTTCTACAAAAAAAAAGTCATTTGTATATAACATATAGTTTGAATCAAAACTGCTGTAAGCAGTCACCATCGAAGCAGCTAGTTTTACCATATAAATGACAAAAACATGTTCTCAGTTTCTAAACTACTAGTTATTGTCTAAATTTACCCTCACCCTCAAGAATGTTATTATAGATGTTATGATCTGTTGATGAAACTCAAAATTAAATGCTGTCCTGCTTCATTTCTCATATATGACAATTCCAAGGCAACAAAAGAAGCTTACTTTTCGACAGATTAATCAATGTAGAGCCAGCACCTGTGAATGGTTTTAGATTGGGGCACAAAAGCAGAAGTTTTTGATGATCGTCAGCCGTTTTCATATTTAGATGCAGATAGCGAAGAATAGGTGAGCCTGTCCAGGTTTCATTGTACTCAAAATGTCCGAGACGAACTGCTGTACACATTCGAAGTTGAGGAAAACCATTTGAAAGTATTACTTGAAACAAATCATTTACTGTTCGTTTGTTACTCTGGTCCGGAGTATGAAATACTACATGTACAAACAAAATTAAGTGAAAGAGGATGACACACTAAAGAGAGGAAAGAGTTGTTCACTTTCCTGAGAACGCGAACGATGGTAACTGACTCGACTTTCGATCCCTGTACACTTTATTCATATCGAGCTTTCCGAAATTAAATGATTTCGAAGTAAATATCTCACTGATAGATCATTTATTTAAGACATCTGCGACTCACCAGAATAAAGATGCAAAATTTCCAGCTTGGGAAAGTACTGCGGACGAATATTGTTGAGTTGAGCAAGTGTGCCATATTTTAGTGTAAGGGAACGTAGATTGATCAAAGAGGTGAAATCAACCGTTTTAGCATGAATAAGAACTAGGCGAACAATTGAGGCAGGAAAAGAATGTACATAGTTAATCGCATCAGTGTCATCATATTTCAACACATGACTCACAGTGATCATCGACTGAATGATTGAATTGATGCGAGAGTTAAGATTGGAAAAGGTTTTAAATAGCTCGGAGGATGACAAGAAAGTAAAGATTTCAGTAAAAATTTCAACTGGTAAATATTCCAGCGACATAGGAAGTGTACTCTGATCACTCATGATCATGAAACTTTTAAAATTGCACGGTGCGTTCTGATTCTTCTTCTTTAAAAAGCGTTCTGATGTATAGTTATAAATTCTTCTCAACAGCGGCTTATGTTGGTTTTCTCTAAGCAGTATTGCATGATATACAAAGATAAGAAATGAAATTTCTTTGTAATTTATGACGATATTATTTGTTGCGAACAAAAACACATACGCTGCTACAGAACCATATATACATATGACTCATCAGAAAATACCATGACATTTTCTCCTGTAAACAAGTAAAACTACGCGTGTAGAAACAGAACCGAAGAAGAAAAGTAAAGAAACGAAAGAAAAATGGACGTATATACGGATGATACATGACAAAATACTGCAGATGAAATCATTGGTACGAGTAAATAAATATCTCACGTAAGGAGCTTCACGAAAAGATGAAATATTTTGGAATTGTCCAACAAAATGACGATAAAGAGAATGGTTGTGAATAAAGGAATTCTCCTCCCCATTATACATATACTCTTTCACTTTCACATAAGAACGGAGAATGGGAAAAAAAGAATGAAAATGGGAGAAAGAGTGGGAAATATATGACTAGAAAAATCGCATCCGTAGGACACTAGACAGTCTCCTAGAAAATTTATCACAGAAAAACTTCGTTTCACTTAGAGAAAAATTTAATTTCAACGTCGCCTAGAATCTGTATCACACGTATGTTTTATATTAAAGATAGATCCTTAGAAACCACATACTGTCATGAGTATTCTTCTGGAGAATAACTAAATTAGAAGTCTTAACAATCAAACTAATTGAAAATGAGTTAAGGAATATCACTGACTATTTTACACAACAAATTGATCTTTATTAGTTAGATCTGTATTGACTCTGAAATCTCCAATCATATTTATTTTAGTCCATATATTTATCACTGGCAAAGAGTATGAATATAATTACGATTCCATACAAAAGAAGTGTTCCCTACGCAAATTTCCTCCTGTATGATCACATGGTCATTGTTAACGGCTTTAGAAAACACCGTTGATGTTCAGATTAGCGAGGTTTTACTGTCCATGACATTTCTTTTGCTTGTGCTGTTAATGATAGAGAGAACATTCCAATCAATTTTCTTTTCTGTTCTGTACTGTTTCTAAATTGAAGAAGGATACCATTGCTGACGGAGAAACGAAATAAAAAACATTCGAGTAATCACTTTCATTCTCTGTTTTGATAGGTTTGAGCGACATTACGTTCGTTGGTATGGCGTTTGCTGTTCCTTCTTCGTCAGGCGTTGAATTATGGTCATGCAAATTTTGCTCATTTTTCAATACGGTTTCAATTTCTTCAATTTGTCATATGTGTCAAAAAGACAATGGTGTGACTGTAACTAAAAACAGTACGGTTTGGTCATGTTGTACAAACGATCGAAGTAATCAAACCAATCAAGTTCGTCAGATCCAGATGTAGTTTTCAGGTATTGACTTGTATTTCTTTTAATCAAAATTTAGATTGCGTCTCACGATGGAATATCAGCGCCAATCAAACCAGAGTTGCAGAGATCATTATCCACCAATATTTCTTCACTGAGTGCCATAGAACGACAAAAGCAAGATGAAATCGATGCGCAATGTAAGCTTATTGATATTATTCAATACTGTCAAGAGGTAATACCACTATTGATCAAATAATAAAATGTATTATTAATCCTTCTCTTCAGAACCGTATTCATTTCGTCGATGATCAATTTTTACCATCGAATCGTTCAATAGGTGCTGAACCACCGATTGCATCTGTTTCTCAATGGTTACGAATTCGCGAAATATCATCAGACAATAATAATTCAAAGGAACTATGGACAGTTATGTCAAATCCACATCCAAATGATATTGCACAAGGCTATTTAGGAGATTGCTGGCTTATGGCTGCACTAGCACTTATTACTGAGAGACCAGATATACTTTCTCATATTCTTCTTACACCAATAATAAATGAAGAAGGTGTGTACTTAGTGCGTATATGTCACAATGGACTGTGGAAAATAGTACTGATTGATGACTGCTTCCCGTGCACTAAAAATAAGCGACTTGTATTTGCAAAGGTTAGATCATTATACCAATTGTAATCCTTTATCATCTTTGAGCTTTTAGGCTAGACACCGACAGCTTTTTGTTCCATTGATTGAGAAAGCATGCGCAAAAATATGGGGTTCTTACAACAAGCTGACTGGTGGTTTCATGTATGAAGCATTACATCTCCTAACAGGTGCTCCTTCTGAGAAAATACAATTAAATGTGACAGCAAATGACGATAATGATAATAGGGACTTACTGTGGGCCAAACTAGTTTCGGCATGTGAAGCCAAGTATGTTGATTAACTTTGCTTTTTCCACTCCTTTTCAATCAATGTTCATAGTCTTTTGATGGGCGCGTCAACAGGCAATAGCGATCTACCTGCCGAGGAATATCAACGTGTACACCTGAGCCGTAATCATGTATTTTCAGTGCTGGCATATCATGATCTATCGTATACAGAACGTTTCCTTCTACTTCGAGATCCTCATGGTAGTTCAAAATATACGGATGATTTTATCTGCCCAGACATACTTCAACAACTTCAGCAGATTAAAACTGCTGAAGCAATAAATGGAACTTTTTGGATGTCCTGGCTGGTATTTCTAAGATTTTTTGGTTCATTGATTATATGCGCATATCGCGATAATCTCTTTGATGTACGATACGAAGGAAAATTCACTAGACATTCGGCTCAAACAGTGCAAGCATACTATTTTCATGTCGAAAAGTAAGATCATTGTCAAAACATCTGTTCGTCATTATCTGATTTATATACACAGGTCAACAACAATAACAATGGGCCTTTTTCATCAGCGCTCCGATCGAGAAAAAGATAACTACCGACACACACAAGCGTTCGTACTTTGTGATATTTTAAACACTGAAATTGGTCAGCGAGAAACTGTTTTACGTAGTAGTCGAAGTGCATATACTGAGTGGACAGGAACATTATCGTCAGGTGCTTACGTACTTATTCCATTTTCGACTTCCTACTGGCATCGAGAAACAAACAATGAGGCGGAGGAGGAGGATGAAATTAATTACACAGTAGTGATTCATTCATCAACTAAACTAGACATACTTATTACAGAGGAATCAGGAAAAGTATTGGCTGATTGTCTTATTGCTAATATCGTACAACATCATCGAATAATAAAAAAGGTAAAGATAGTGATGTGTTTCTTGCAAAGTTTTTTTTTCTCTGTTTTAGAGTTCCAATTACACTTTATATATTTCCAAAGAGCCTGGTGCCTATTTGATTCCAATTGTTGGTGAGAATACATCCACTGAGCATGCACTTAATGTTGATATTGATGTATCTAAATCGTTAAATATTCGCCATTCTCGCAACACATCAATTACATTTGATTCGATTCCATCGCAGCACCGTCAAATTCACCTTCTAGTCGATTATATCTATAAGAGTGGCGAAAACACACGTTATCGATACACATATTTATGTGCTCATAATGCAGCTGAACGACGACCAACACAACCCAACATAAGTAGAGCAGATGATATACATGCTGCACGACCTATATATCATGGAAAGAAATCTTAGTCTTTGAAAAACCACAGCGCATATTCTCTTTGACATCTATTTTATCGAGTTCTTCAGGTTTTTTTTATTCACCTACGTATATCGGATGATTTGAGTGTCTATAATTCAACAGTTTTCTCTTTGTGATGGATTTGTCCTTCCGCGTCACGCAAGGTCGAAGTAGAGAGAAACATTTTGTATCTATCTTTTTCGTTCCTCCTATGTTGGTATATTTCTATTGCATCCATTCTGTAACTTCGTGATATTAGCTAAAAAGTTTATCAAGCAAGGTAATTACAGCCAAAATTTTTATAATTGACGCGTTCGTATGTATTTAATGAGATCTTTTTTCTATCGACCGAATATTTCAAGGGTGAATCATGTGAAAATTTCGAAGTTCAAGAGAATGTGTCGTTTTCTAATTACAAAACCATTTCAGTTTAGCGTCGATGTCGAAATGAAAATGAGAAATTGTGTATTAGTTTTTGAAGATAGTTCATATCAATCAATTAGCATGATAAATGATCCTTTCCCAAGTTGTATCCGAATTCAAGCCAGTTGTCGTTCCACATCTGTATCCCCCGCTTCCACCATCCGTATGCCAACATAAACGATAAGCGTCATTTGTTGATTCTGTATCACAACTATTTCGTTCTACAGCATCAGAACCATTTACAAAGCCCCATGAATATGAATCAGAATAATACCATCCAACACCATTGGCTATTTGAGTACAATTCTCTATAGTACTACAATCATAAAGAACGTCAGCTCGATTGCCCATTGCTGCTACAGTTAATTTCACAGTATTGACTTGCCGACATCCAAGTAGTAATTTGGTTTTGTTGCATGAAGATAATATTGTAGAAAGACTTAACTGATCCATGGTGTCTGCATACGTATTATTAAAGCATAATGACCATCCACTTGGTAATGAATTTGGATCGAAATCTAGCTGGACTCCACTCTGAGTTAGTGGTACTAAAAAAAGATAAACACGGATACTATTAAAGTATGGAAATATGAATTTCAGACCTGTAGTAATTGATATTGTCGTCGTTGTCGTTGTTGTTGTTTTTTGTATATCTAAATAAAATTGAAATTATTAAAATAACTATAAATTCATTAAAAACCTTGAATATATTGTGTAATTAGAGCACCAAGAGCAATTCCAGCACAAAGTGCACCGACAATAAATCCACATAAAATTGGTTTCCAACATCCTGCCCGAAATCGCTTCGAGATATCTTTGCCACTTTCTTCGTTGGTATTCCACTCACTTGTTTTACTCATTTAGATACAAAATAGGTCGATCGGTTGAAAGGTAGACCTATTTCTATTCGATAAGAATGAAAAATGAACTCAAAAGACGAAGAATACCTTTCAAGTATCAAACAATTGTAAAAGTAAGTTAGAATTTCTTTTTATTTGTAAAAACCCATAGGAATCAATAGAATTGAATCACAAGATTTGTTTTCAATATTGTTAAGTAAAATAATTTAAAACTTATTTTTTTTAGCTCTTCATCTTTATTACATACAAATCAAATACAGGATCAAGATTGTATGTATATCTTGAGAGAAATAAAACGTGCTGCAAGTTCATGTTGAAGAAAATTGAAAAGATTGGAATTGATAGGAAATATTTGCTAACAAGATTTTTGACAAATTGAAGAAAAGAGATAATGAACTCGAGTGTTTTTCTCAAAATATCTTATTGAGATATTCATATATAACAATGAAGGAATAGAATAAGTCAACAAATGTTCTTGAAAACAACAGCTACTAGGATTCATTCTGAGTTATTAGTGCACAATATTGAAAATAATATCACCCTAGGTGGTAATGATACCATCTCGAGTGTCAACTCTAGTGAGCTTTATAGCACATGAAAGCCGGTGAAAATGAAGTTTTTTCGACTTTTTTCCAGCAAAATTTTGTGTGATAGTCTATGAAATACTTCATTTCTCCATGACTTAACTAATATAATCAATGAATGGTGTGACAACCATTAGAGCTCTTTACCGTATGAAGTCGAGATGGATGCAAACACAAGAGTTTCAAATGATTCCGTTTTTGATAAAATATCTTCAATGTGTGTTTTGAGTGCCGCTTCCAGGTAACGGTTGTTACCAACTTTGAATAGGATTTTTCTCCACTTCGTCTTTCACTATTGATCCAATGTGTTCTGGCACATTAAGCTCCAGCGACTTTTCAGGCCAGACATAATTGTTCAAAAATTTAATGTCGTTACCTTGAAACAAATGCTAGATCTTACTCGCATTATAATGCGTGATACTTCATGAGGATCGGTAACTTTTCTTCATTGTTGTAGAAACTGAATACGTTCTTTGTCAAAATCACATCTCGAAAATATTCACCAGCTCGTACGGCTCACCTTTGTCTCTGATCACACAGAGTAATCTCTTGCAAGTGAACATGATGAAAACTCCAATGTATGCTTAGTGGCTGACCATTTCTCGATACTTCTTGCTCTAATTCAATCATTTTGATAATTTGATCTGCGGACGGCTCATGATGGAAGATATTTAGGCGTTTAAGTCCTTTAGGTTCCATCTTTTGGTGACAGGTACACCTTAGTCAGGCATGAACAGCCTCAAGAGGAGATATTGCGTTTTCAAGATGCATACGAAAAGAGACTGAAATGAAAAAATGGTTGTTTTGGGAGAACTGCAGAGTATTCAGACGAATATCTGTTTCGATTTCATTCATTGCTAATGCAATGTGTTCCAGATTTAGAGTCACATCATAAGTTCATCAAAATCGCTTCCTCTTGCTATTTATCAGCCTATAAAATAATCAGAACCTCACACTTCTTGTTTGGTGTCGTTGTATGCTGACATACTATCGATCATCTTTTTCGTATTCTCTGCTAATATATGATCCCACCTGCTCGACTAGTACGACGTTTTCGTATCCTTTGTTTACATTTCCCTAGTTACCCCTCTCTCTTTGTTCTTCTATCTGTCATGCTTGATTTGTGCGATGGAACCTAAAGGACTTAAACACCTAAACATGTTCCGTCGTGAGCCAACGATTAAAAGCTCTTCAGTAGAACCTACTACTCATGAAGAAATGTTAAAATTTTGGGGAATTATCATCGAAATGGGTTTGGTACAAATGCTAAGAGTGGACTATTATTGAAGCGAAAGTAATTTATGTGGTTCCGAAGTTATTCAAAATACCACGTGAAGCGGCAAATTTGATCATTTTTCGAACAATAAGGAAAAACATGAAGATGACGACAAATCGTTCAAGCTAAGACCACTTCTCGATCTGCGACAACTGAGATTTATGTCAGTTTACGTTTCTTATTTAATTATTACTATTGACGAAACGATGGTATCATGAAAAGGTAGACTTCTCCTCAAACCATATATTTCTGATAAATCTCATAAATACGGAGTGAAAATATACAAGGTGGCGAGTACAGCAGGAGATAGTTTGAATCGTATGATTTATGTTGGTAAGTATTGTAAACGTTCTTGAACACATAATTGCTGCAAACGTAACATATCGATAATTTTCTTTTGCATGGTTCACATAGCTACAAAGCCAAAACTACTTCATGAGACCCTTTAGGAAGGTTGAAGCGCGTCGTAGGCTGCTTGACTCACTCTCATGCGCTTACTAAGATAAATAATTTGCAGATTGATTTAGAGATTATTTTGATATTTCACATCGAGAAATGTAGATTTTTAATTGATGAATATAAACAAATTATACTATCTCGAGAGTTTGGATGTGAATGTATACTCTTCATATCCATCCTTCACCTTCAAAATGGTTATTACATTTAAAAAAAAAACAGTCGTTGAGCTTCATCATAGAAATCAGTTAGAAAAATAAGAATAGGGCTCAGCAAGATTCCGACTTGATTTATTTTCAATGAATTCAAACTAAAAGTCTATGTACATGCTTGCAGTTGTTTTCTTCATTCATAGAAAACATGATCTTATTCGAGTTTGAATTTGTGTACTTGTTTTTTTAAATTCGCTCATATAGAGTTTGGATGGCATAACAAATATAATGAAAGTAAGCAGAGGAGGAATACACGAAATAAAATATCCAATTAAAGGTAACCAAACATCATAAGATGAATTCATACAAGTTGCTATAAATGAGAGAATTAAACGTGGAAATGCTAAAAGAACTAAAACAACAGGTGCAATAAGTAGATGAAGATGGTCTTGAATTTGTTCTTTTATAATTTGTCGATATGTTAGTTTTTTTTGAGCTTTTTTTCGTTTTTGACTCGTAAAAAAAATAATAATCAAAGCTGACATTAAATTAAGAACAAATGGAACAAAAAAATGAATTAAATTTATAATTGAATTAAATATACGAAAATTTGATGAATAACTTGCAATACACCAAATACGCTTCTCATTATCTTCTACTGCATCATCATCATTATCATGTAATATTTGTCGATGTATGGGATCATGTATTGCTGTAGTGATTGTCCAAAAAAGAATTAGGATTATTATATATTTTGCCATTTGTTGACTTTTTTCCTTATTAAAACGAACACCTTGAAATGCTGTTAAAGCTCGTTCAGATGCAACACATGCATTTAAATATTGATCCATACAAAGACCAATACGAAGACAAAAATCTAATGTATAACATTGAATATTTAAAAATATTGAATTCGTCATATAGGTCATTTGTGCATGTAAGAAAATACTAAATTTTAATAAGAATATAATTATCGTAAATAAAGTTGTTAATGATGATCCAAGTAGATAAACACTACAACCACTTTTTCGTAATTCACGACTTTTAAAAACCATTAGAGAAAGAATACTATTGATTATACCTAAAATTGTTATAATGATTGTCAATATTAAACTTAATTTTATAATAAATGGTTGACTTGTTAATTTAATATAAGGTTGTATATGATAACCAAGAATTGCATCAAGTGATAAACCAAATAAATGTGAATTGAATTGGCATCGTCTTCCATGAAAACATTTTGGACAAACACATATTGATTTTTTTGGACATTTTAGACCATCTTGAACACATTTTCCACCATTTTCACAATCACTTAAATCTTGACAATTAACTGATGTACGACTATCAAAATTAAAACAATTACTTAAACGTTTATTGGTAAAATTATAGCATAAACAAAAATATGTATCATCATAAAAACAATTCAGATCTGATGCATATTGTTCACATGGAATTTGAAAATATTTTACACGACGAAATGGATGCAATGAAAGAATTGTTTCATTCAAAATTTCACTTACATGTCGACAACGATATGATGGTAGAATGATTTGATTATATGTTTTTATAGACGAATCGTATGAATTTTGAACAAGAACTAAATAATATTTATCCAATAGTTGAACAAATACAATACTAAAAGTGTTTGGCCAATAAACAGAAATTTCTTTTTGATAAAGAAATACTCTCTGTACAACTGAACTATTAGCTACAAAGCGTTCATTTAAAGCTGGTGGACTTATAAAATGAATAATAATCGATTGTGGTAAACTAATATCTTTATGAAATGATAATTTTAAATGTGTTTCAGTTTTTTCACAATTGTTTCCATCAAATCCTTTTCGGCATAAACAATAATAAGTTTTACTTAATTGTAATTGTTTATCCAGAGGTATACATTGACCTTCATTAAGACACAATTTCTCTCCTTCCGAGTCACATGGATTACTATGAAGAAAACAACGTGTACCCCATTTATTGATTGGACAAACACATACAGATTGATTATTAGCCGTTACACCAATACATGATGAATTCGATGAACATTGACAAGTATGAGGAATTGTACAATATTTTCCATACCATCCTTGATGACATTGACAAAATGTTCGATTTTCTCCATCATTTATATAATAATAACAGTGACCATGTTGACATAATTGATCTGAACATGTTTTTATCTGATATATTTTACTTGGAATAGTCAATTGAACAGCAATGCGATTAATAGGTAAGAAACGATATTTAATTGGAATATAAAAACTTCCACGATATGTCAAAGAAATCTTTTCATAAACATCGATATGTATTGAATAATTTTTTGTATAGGAATATTTTGGATGTAATAAATAAATATTATATTTGTTTGAACAATCTTTAAAATAAAAGTATGTATTTTGTTCATATGAATAAATCGTTCGTTCATTATTATCGTTATCAATTAATGAGACTATAAAAGTAAATAATACTCGTCGAGAATCAGAATGAACTTTAAATTGTAAAGTTAAACTAACACGTTGTCGATCATATTGACATGTTTCACCATAATAACTCGGTGGACAAAGACATGCTTCTACTGATGTATTGTTTTTATTAGCTAACCGAACATGTAAAGGAAGTCCACGATGACAACGTTGTTCATTTGAACGAGTAATTGAAAAGGCACGATCATGTTCTCTTATCATTGCGGTTGTTTTGATTCGTTCAGTTGAATCTTTCTTTGGAAAATTCACGTGTTCGAGTTGAAAATAAGGGTCTTGGAGCTCATAATTTTCCTCAAGTCGAGTGCAAATAAAATGATGTTCGTCCGTATAAATTGATTCATATTTATAATCACAAATAGATTCAATTTTTGAAATATTTTCAAACACAGAACAAAGTTGTTTATCTTCTCCATTTAAACATCGATTATTTTCCATACATAATTCGTGAGAATATATACAAGTATAATTTGTATCATTTTTGCAGTAAAAATTTTTCAATGGTACTGATTCTTTCGATCGACATAGTTTTGGTTCATCAGTAGCACCAACACAATCAATTTGACCATCATTTGCCTTTTCTAACGGTAAACATTCTAATTTAAATGTTTCTGATGAAATACATTGATGATGATTTAATGGACATTTTAGATCTGAATTACAATTGATTTCATCTGCACCATTCCAACAATTCCATTTAGAATTACATCGTGTATAAATATTATTACATTCCCAATAATCACATTCAGTCTCATCTGTTTCCGATTGATTACCAATAAGAACAGGTTGTAAATGTGGATAACCATCACAAATAAAACGATATGGAACATCATTTTTCTGATCATACGATATGCCTATTTCATCTGTACATGTATCTATTGAAGGCGAGTTACAATCACAATTACCATTACCAACCAAATGAATTGAAATACATTTTTTACTTATTATACATTTAAATTGTCCTTTCTTACAAGTATCATTAATTAATGAACAATCTTCATCATCATGATTATTACAATTAACAATGCCATCACATAATTGATTAATAGAAATACATTTTGATGAATTCAAACATTGATACATTTTAGAATTATTACATATTGCTGAATTATTATGAAACATTGTATTACATTGATAAAGTTGTTTATATATTTCGTCAATATAATATGCCACTTTTGAATTCGTATGTTCAGTACTAAAGAATATCGGAAAATCTTCAGGTTTTCGACATGTAAGATTATTAAATGAAATCACTGTTCGATTTGATAAAAATCCATCACAATATCGTTTATCATAACAGATATAATGAGGTGTAAGCATATCATTTGATATAAAAATAGTTTTATGATAAAGAAAATAAATATGTGTATATGCAATAGGTGTTGCTGGGATTAGAAATTGTTCTGGACATGTCATATTGATGATATCAAGAAATGATATATTAAAAGGCTTTTCATTACATGCTGGATCAGATTGTTTTATAATATCGTAATGACATTTGAATGCTAACCAACAATCATTGGTGATTGAACTTGGTGTTTCAATAAATATTTCTGCTGTTAATAACTCGATATTTCTTAATGTAGTTGAACGTGCATGTTTATATCGAATATATTGTATATCTTCGTTATAAAACATTGGATCATAAGTAATAGGTTTGATTAGAATGAGTTTATCAGTATAATATCTATCAGATTCATCAAGACATTCAATATGATCATAGGAATTGTCTTGAAAAAAATCCCTCGGAATACATTGACCATTTTTACATTGATATTCATTCTCATTACACGTATTAAAGTTAAGTTGCCAACAATATTTTTCATCAATGCCTTCATTGAAACAATCAACGATACCATCGCATATCTCATACCAAGCAAGACATATCGATGATAAACCACGATCGCATTTTAAATCTGTATAACACGTGCGAGTTGTTGCTTTGTATTTGTTCTTATAGAATTCATAAACTAATTCACTTAATAGAGCATGAGAAAATCGATATGTATCTAATGAATATTGACATTTTGGTCCAAAATTAGGTAATTTACATTTATAAAATATTGTAGATGGTTCTTTGATTTCGTTCAATTTCATTGAACGTTGATTATAATATTCTTGATAATCTTCAATAAGTTTCATCGACGCTGACCAGAAATACAATTCTTCACTAGTAACACCTTGTTCATAAAGTGCAGCAAAAGTAAATTTTTGATCGTATTCATTTTCGACAACTTGCCATTTTGATGGCCATACAGTTAAACAATATGAAATTGTTTGATATAATCTAAGATTTGCTTCACTACTGGCTGATACATAGAGNACACCTTGTTCATAAAGTGCAGCAAAAGTAAATTTTTGATCGTATTCATTTTCGACAACTTGCCATTTTGATGGCCATACAGTTAAACAATATGAAATTGTTTGATATAATCTAAGATTTGCTTCACTACTGGCTGATACATAGAGACAATCATGTTGTAATGTAGTATAAACTTCATTCTCATTTATCCAATCGGTATGATGAAGATTAAAATGAGGAAGAGCAATAACTACATAGAGTTGAATCGAATAAATTAAATAGTTGATCATCATCTCGACGATGATGGTACGTTTTGAGAATGTGTTTTACAATCGTTTGAAAATTATTGCAGATTCTTCTACTTACAGTGAGTAACTTTTATTGTTCTTTTTTTAAATGAAAGGGATCCTAATATTTATATTTTTCTATGAACATTTGGCTTTTATTAACAATTTCTTTTTTTTCTTCTTCTGCAATTAATCGTAATCAAGTATAAAACAAAATTATGATAGTATAAAAGTGTATTGTTAATCATTTTTATTAATGGAAATTGAAGTATCAATCGTTAAAATTGCGAAAGTACGGTGGTTGTTTCTTTGTTTTGTTTTGTTTTTAAATTCCTTATGGTTTATGTATGATATTTGTTAAAAACGTGTCAATATAAAGAAATTTAGGTGTTCTATGGTTGATTTATGAATAAATTAAACATGACTTTTGAAGAATGCATATGTTTATCTCAAGTTTTTTGTTCATACTGATCACATCCTTTTTTTTGAAATCAACACATAAATATTAACATCTGCTAATGAAGGTTAAAATAATTATCATAAAACTAACGTTAATTTAATAACAAAAATCAGAATCAATAATCATTTCTGTTGATAGTATGAATCATTTATATTCAGATGAACAAAATATAGAGTAATAGCAATGAGTGCAATTTGTTTTTCCGCTTTGCATATATGGGGAAATTATTATATGAAGTGAGAATGTGTTTGATAGGAACTGATTTGTTTGTATCAGGGAAGCAAAAAAGTCACAATAATTAACATTCCTTTATTCGTTTTCTATTGTCTTTTTACTCTATATGACATTAGACCAAAGTATTACTGCGATTATTCTCATTATTTCACGTTAAAAAACAATGTGAACAGCAATGATAAAGACATAAAAATTGATTCTGGTTTGATTAAAAAAACGGTCAACTTTCAAAATAATTGGATTCATCTCATATGGCAAGATAATGACATTATCATATTTAGAATAATAGAATTTTTCATAAAAATCTAGAAATCATGGTTTATAATGACTAGATCGTTAAATATAAATTGTGAAAGATAGTGCCTTCCAAACAATACGACTAATTTACATATTCTCCCAGCTTTCGAAATCGAAATTAACTACAGTTTGTTTTAGGTCTCGTATTGTTCAATGATATCACTATAGTCACTATGAAAAAAATCGTGTCTATCTACGGCTCTTGAATGTGTCTGATCATACTAAAACTTTAAATGAAGTTCGGTGCATTTCAAAATCATGTCTATAAAATATATTCAATATTTGATTGTTTCACAGAGGAAAGAAGATTTTACGATAGAATAATTATTTGTTTTACTTATTTTTCATTATTTTAAATAGTTTATAAAGAATTAAATACAAAAAGCGTACATCGAAATAACTGGTACCTTGTCCGTAGCAGGACATATTACGGTATATTCTTCACAGTAACGAATCTATACTGGCATGACTAGGATACTTGACCGATATCCGTTGTTTTCTGTTGTTCATAAAAATAGACAAGGACTTGTTACGTGAAGAAGTCAAATAAAGTGTGTGTCATCATTTCGCAGGCACTTTTCTTCTCAAGTTCGTTATATTGTTGAAGTATTGTTAAGAATAACGATAGATAATAATCAAGTAGGAAGACATTTTCAATCTATAATCGTCAATTTTATTATTAGTATTTTCTTCAACATTCATAAATAAAAACAAGCACTGATAATGAAACATTAGTGTCTTTTATCAATAAAAAACTTTTGAACACGATGATTGCCGCAATCGACAACATACAGATTGCCTTCTCGATCAAATAATATATCTTCAGGGTCTTTGAGCTGATTTACCATTGATCCGACGCTTTTTCCACTGACAACAATCTTTCCTACTTGGGATCCTTCAGTAAACCGCATTATTCGACTGTTGTCTCTATCAGCCACATAAATATTATTCGAATTATCAACGACAATACCTGTAGTAACGTTCAACAGGTAAACTAAATCATTTGTATTATTATATCCACCAGCAACAACGATACCTTTTGTTGCATTTTTTAACCATTTCATCACACGATGATTGTATGCATCTGATACATAAACTAAATCATTGTTATGATCGACAAAGAAATACATAGGAAACATGTGGTGATAGAGATCATTTCCAGGCCCATTTCCACCTGCAATAACCTCCGGATCAGATTGTCCTTCTTTCCATCGTTTTATTCCCCCACTAAGAGTCTCGGATATATATATATATCCATTATTATCTATCATTATACTGAAACAGTCAGTATTTAAAATCACTGTTGGTTCTTGTACCAAATTATGATGATTTACTTTCAATATTCGACTGTTTCCTGCATCACAAATAATGAGAGAATGGTTTTGTTTATCGATAGCAACATCGGTTGGAGTTTCTAATTGATTTCTTTTATTTCCTTTCCCATCTTTACCTGCAATAAGTTCACCTTGTGAAGCATTCACTTTCCATCGAACAACACGATGATTCATTTCATCAGCAATATAAAGTGTAAGGTCATCGTCTAGATCGAATCCTCGAGGACCATTTAGTTTGTTTAGTTCATTGCCTGATTTATTTCCACCTGCAACAGTAATTCCATGTTGTTTCCATGTAGTATTACCATTAACTAAAATAAAGAAAAACACTTATTCTTTTGAGAATATAAACAATGTTCATCATGATGAAAGTAATTGTAACAATTAAGAAACACAATATTTTGTATATTTATTATAAAGTTATGCGTTCCTACTATCTTCTCTAAAAGAAAATTGTACCTTCTACTATTGGTATAATGGGTTTTGCTTTCTGTTTTGTTAGAAGAACTGCAACAGTGATGACAACCACTGCAATTATTACAATAATTGCAATCACACAAATTATTATATATTTCCGTGTATCTCTTTGAACTTGTGACTTTCTACGAAATAAAGTATCAATTATGTAACTGTAATTATATCGACTATAATAGAACATACGTTGTTGTTGTTTCTGAAGGCGATGATGAAGCAATATCACTTAATTGAACCTAAAAGAAAAGATTTTTTATTAATTTCTTAATGATCTATTCAAAAAAAAGATTACATTATCAGTATTTTTATCAGTTTTCGTCATGACAGATAATCGAATTTGACAATCCAAAAGTTATAAAAAATGTTGAACAATAGGAGAAAAACAAGTTTTTTTCAAGAAAATAAATGTGTGTCAATCTAATGTTGATGTTGAAATGTTTGAAATCAGCACACAACTGTTAAACTAAAAAAATGTAGAGAATTATATATCTTCTCTCATATCCTGTTTTATCGAAACATATTAGCATATGTTAATTATTATCATCTACCACGATGATAAAATATGGATGGTTAGAATATAGATAGATTCGATGTATCAAAGAGGAAATAGTTATTCATTACGTATATCAACAGTGAATATTATGCTGAGCAAAAGATAAATATTCAAATTCAATTTTTGTTCTAAGAGGAACACAATTGGTAGAATAAGCAGATCTGTACCGTAGCATTAGTTTGTTTTTTGCAAATAAGTGCGCATAAGGATGTTTTATTATTCTCATTCTCCCTGGTTTGGTATCTTTTGCTGACAATCACGATTTTCAGCAATCTGTCTTATGTATACCAAAACTAACAGAATGAAGTAGGTTTCTTTAAAATAATGTGTCAATACTTACATAAGGAAAGGGAATAAATTTAGATAATCATAGTACATAGTTTACTTTTGTTGTTTCTTAAAAGCTTTGTTACTAAATAAATTCTCTGTCTTCATCTTCTTTGGGGCTGGTTCATCACCCATTGATCCTTCAATTTCATCAAATGTACCAGGGATATCTAAAGGATTTTAAAAAGCCAAAGCTGGCATATGTCGTCTAAGCAAACAAATGATAAAAGTCGATTCCTCATCAATTATCGAAAAGATTCCAAGCGGTACTGACAGGTTTGAACAAAACAATTTCACGAATTTTACATAGCACAAATCGCGATAGATTTAGATAATTTTGTCGGACTGTTCGTCAATTATAACAAGACGTTACGATACGTAGAAAGTGACGTCGCCACAATATGATTCATTCACGTCTCAAAGATGCTTTCTAACATATGAACTAAATCATTAAAGTTTTACGAAAAAAAAGAATTTAGGGAAGGACAACAGGGAAAGGTAACAGAGCAAAGTCGTTCCCGCAGGACACTAATTACAAGCCTGTATTATAACTACTGTCATCATACTTTACAAGACGAGCTTAGATTTAATGAAAGGTCAAAATGAAGAGAGACCACAAGGATGTGTGTCAACGAGTAGACTTGGATGAATTTCATCCAAATCATCCGTTGGCGCTAAGAAAGCTAGACTAGATGTTCGATGTGCTGTGAATTGTAGATATCCATTCAGAGGAAGCCCTTACTTTGATTAACTCTGAGTTTTAACTCAATATAGCTAAAGTACCAACAGCATGCTACTGAGGAAAGGTTTGAGACATCTGATTAGCGTAGCAGACTGAAAATATGAGTGTATTACTAGAACTTACCAGTGTCTGTCATCCATTTATTTAATACGATACGCATACAAAGACTAACGCGTGACTGAAGCGAAATCCTCGATGGTGTATCAATGCATCAGAAGCTCGCTAAAGTTCGATTTTTTTTGTGTTTTATCTGATACACTTTTTGCAGTACACATAACTCGGATAAAATCCGAAGTTTCCACATTTATCATGTTTCGGATTGGAAAGACGATCAAGTAGTACGATGGAATGTGATTGATAACAAAGAAACGATTGTTGCAGGCGGAAACGGAAAAGGGAGTAGTATAGAAATCGTTAATTCGATTCGAGTTCTGACCTTCTAAACTCCTGCAATATATATCAATACGGCGTACTAAATACCAGACTAGAGCATCCACATAGTCATACACGTCTTCAACGCTTTTGATAATGAAAATAGTGAAAAGAGATTGTTCTATTGGAAAATCAACTATTTTTCATTTAACTGAAGAGAAAGAATTTTTTTAATCATTTCTAGACGACGAAAAACGTGAACTTATTTAAGTTCGACATTGAAAGATTTTGTTATGTAATACAATTTAGTGTACAAGAACTCCATTCTTCACGGGCTTTCGTTTGATATACCAGTCATCATACATCCTATTCAGGAGTGTATCTTTAGCTCCCTTGAATAATAATATTCTTTCACATCCTGTACGTATGCGTACCGAAAACATTCGTCCACAAGCGTTTTAGTAGTGTATATCTAATGTCCATGGAGTTTACAGTAGTTTCACTTCTTTATACATTGTAGTACATCGGTTTCATATTGATGGTGCGTATAAAAAGAGTGTACGATCTCGTTTCAATCTCAGCCACATCCTTAAAATCGTTCAAATTGATCTTTGCCAATTTCAAAATTGCCATCAACCAATATGGATTCGAAATCTGGTTAGAAGCAGCCAAACCATTTTTCAATTATATTTATTCGTTGCTACACGTAAAATCCAATTTATTTTTCTGTTTTACATGGCATTGCCAATGCTTTTCAAAATCAAAATTTGTGTATTGCTAATCTAGGAAAAATATAACTAATCATAATGCTCTTAAAGAAGAACAAGCAATGCCGCAACCATTGTTCACTGCTTGAAACCATGTAAGTACTTATGCACTGTCGTAATGATCGGTGTGAAGCTAGCACCATCGAGCTAGCACCATCAAACTAAGGATTTTCTGAAAACGAATTCCGGTCGATAAAACCGAGTGTATTCGATGCAGAATTTAATTCTGAGTCCAATGGNTTTCGTTCAATTTCATTGAACGTTGATTATAATATTCTTGGTAATCTTCAATAAGTTTCATCGACGCTGACCAGAAATACAATTCTTCACTAGTAACACCTTGTTCATAAAGTGCAGCAAAAGTAAATTTTTGATCGTATTCATTTTCGACAACTTGCCATTTTGATGGCCATACAGTTAAACAATATGAAATTGTTTGATATAATCTAAGATTTGTTTCACTACTGGATGATACATAGAGACAATCATGTTGTAATGTAGTATAAACTTCATTCTCATTTATCCAATCGGTATGATGAAGATTAAAATGAGGAAGAGCAACAACTACATAGAGTTGAATCGAATAGACTAAATAGTTGATCATCATTATCTCGACGGTGATGGTACGTTTTGAGAATGTGTTTTACAATCGTTTGAAAATTATTTCAGATTCTTCTACTTACAGTGAGTAACTTTTATTGTTCTTTTTTTAAATGAAAGTGATCCTAACATTTATATTTTTCTATGAACATTTGGCTTTTATTAACAATTTCTCTTTTTCCTGCAATTAATCATAATCCAGTAAAAAACAAAATTATGATAATATAAAAGTGTATTGTTAATCATTTTAATTAATGGAAATTGAAGTATCAATCGTTAAAATTGCGAAAGTACGGTGGTTGTTCCTTTGTTTTTATTTTTTTTTAATTTCATATGGTTCATGTATGATATTTGTTAAAAACGTGTCAATATAAAGAAATTCAGGTGTTGTATGGTTGATTTATGAATAAGTTAAGCATGACTTTTGAAGAATGCATATGTTTAGCTCAAGTTTTTTGTTCATACTGACATCCTTTTTTTTTAAATCAACACATAAATATTAACATCTGATAATGAAGGTTAAAGTAATTATCATAGAGTTAACTTTAAAATAATAACAAAAATCATAATCAATAATCATTTCTGTTGATAGTATGAATCATTTATGTTCAGATGAACAAAATATAGAGTAATAGCAATGAATGCAATTCGTTTTTTCGCTTTGCATATATGAGGAAATTATTATATGAAGTGAGAATGTGTTTAATAGGAGCTGATTTGTTTGTATCAGGGAAGCGACAAAGTCCCAATAATTAACATTCCTTTATTCGTTTTCTATTGTCTTTTTACTCTATATGACATTAGACCAAAGTACTACTGCGATTATTCTCATTATTTCACGTTGAAAAACAAAGTGAACAGCAATAATAAGACATAAAAATTGATTCTGGTTTGATAAAAATGCGTTCAACTTTCAAAATAATTCGATTCATTTCATATGGCAAGCTAATGACTAGATCGTTAAATATAAATTGTGAAAGATAGTGCCTTCCAAACAATACGACTAATTTCCATCTTCTCCTAGCTTTCGAAATCGAGATTAACTACAGTTTGTTTTAGGCCTCGCATTGTTCAATGATATCACTATAGTCACTATGAAAAAAATCGTGTCTATCTACGGCTCTTGGATGTGCCTGATCATACTGAAACCTTAAAATGAAGTTCGGTGCGTTTCAAAATCATGTCTATAAAATATATTCAATATTTGATTGTTTCACAGAGGAAAGAAGATTTTACGATAGAATAATTATTTGTTTGACTTATTTTTGATTATTTGAAATAGTTTATAAAGAATTAAATACAAAAAACCGTACATCGAAATAACTGGTACCTTGTCCATAGTAGGACATATTATGGTATATTCTGACCTGTAACTCATCTATACTAGCATGATCACGATACTTGACCGATATCCATTGTTTTCTGTTGTTCATACAAATAGACAAGGACTTATTACGTGAAGAAGTCAAATAAAGTGTGTGTCATCATCTCGCAGGCACTTCTCTTCTCAAGTTCGTTATATTGTTGAAGTATTGTTAAGAATAACGCTAGATAATAATCAAGTAGGAAGACATTTTCAATCTATAATCGTCAATTTTATTATTAGTATTTTCTTCAACATTCATAAATAAAAACAGGCGCTGATAATGAAACATTAGCGTTTTTTATCAATAAAAAACTTTTGGACACGATGATTGCCGCAATCGACAACATACAGATTGCCGTCGCGATCAAATAATATATCTTCAGGATTTTTGAGCTGATTTACCATTGATCCGACGCCTTTTCCACTGACAACAATCTGTCCTACTTTGGATCCTTCAGTAAATCGCATTATTCGACTGTTTTCTCTATCAGCCACATAAATATTATTCGAATTATCAACGACGATACCATTAGTAACGTTCAACTGGTAAATTAAGTTATTTGTATTATTATATCCACCAACAACAACGATACCTTTTGTTGCATTTTTCAACCATTTCATCACACGATTATTGTATGCATCTGATACATAAACTGAATCATTGTTATGATCGACAAAGAAATACATAGGAAACATGTGGTGATAGAGATCATTTCCAGGCCCATTCCCACCTGCAATAACCTCCGGATGAGATTGTCCTTCTTTCCATCGTTTTATTCCCCCACTAAAAGTCTCGGATATATATATATATCCATTATTATCTATCATTATACTGAAACAGCTAGTATTTAAAATCGCTGTTGGTTCTTGTGCCAAATTATGATGATTGACTTTCAATATTCGACTGTTTCCTGCATCACAAATAATGAGAGAATGTTTTTGTTTATCGATAACAACATCAGTTGGAGATTCTAATTGATTTGCTTTGTTTCCTTTTCCATCTTTACCTGCAATAAGTTCACCTTTTGAAGCATTCACTTTCCATCGAACAACACGGTGATTCAGTTCATCAGCAATATAAAGTGTAAGGTCATCGTCTAGATCGAATCCTCGAGGACCATTTAGTTTGCTTAGTTCATTGCCTGATTTATTTTCACCTGCAACAGTAATTCCATGTTGCCTCCATGTAGTATTACCATTAACTAAAATAAAGAAAAACAATGTTTTGTATGAAAACAAATATTTCGTATATGTATTATAAATTTATGTGTTCCTACTATATTCTCTAAAAGAAAATTGTACCTTCTACTATTGGTATGATGGGTTTTGTTTTCCTTTTTGTTAGAAGAACTGCAACAGTGATGGCAACCACTGTAATTATTACAATAACTGCAATCACACAAATTATTATATATTTCCGGGTATTTCTTTGAACTTGTAACTTTCTACAAAATATAGTATCAATTATGTAACTGTACTTATATCGACTATAATAGAACATACGCTGTTGTTGTTTTTGGAGGTGATGATGAACCAATATCACTTAATTGAACCTAAAAGAAAAAAATTGTTATTGATTTCTTCATGATCTATTCGAAAAAAGATTACATTATCAGTATTTTTATCAGTTTTCGTCATGACAGATAATCGAATTTGACAATCCAAAAGTTATAAAAAATGTTGAACAATAAGAGAAAAACAAGTTTTTTTCAGGAAAATAAATGGGTGACAATCTAATGTTGATGTTGAAATGTTTGAAATCAGCACACAACTGTTAAACTAAAAAGATGTAGAGAATTATATATCTTTTCTCATATCCTGTTTTATCGGATCACATTAGCATATGTTAACTATCATCTACCACGATGATAAAATATGGATGGTCAGAATATAGACAGATTCGATGTATCAAAGAGGAAATAGTTATTCATTACGTATATCAATAGTGAATATTATGCTGAGCAAAAGATAAATATTCAAACTCAGTTTTTGTTCTAAGAGGAGCACAATTGATAGAATAAGTAGATCTGTGCCATAGCATTAGTTTGTTTTTTTTGCAAATGAGTGCGCATAGGGATGTTTTATTATTCTCATTCTCCCAGACCCGGAATGTTTTGCCGACAATTACGGCTTTTAGCAATCTGTCTTATGTATACCAAAACTAACAGAATGAAGTAGGTTGTTTTTAATAAAGTGTAAATACTTACACAAGCAAAGAGAATAAATTTAGATAATCACAATGCATAGATTCTTTTTAATATATTCTGTCTTCATCTTCTTTTCGCCTCTTTGGAGCTAGTTCATCACCCATTGATCTTTCAATTTCATCAAATGCACCAGGGATCTCTGATTTTAAAAAGCCAAAGCTGGAATATGTCGTATAAGCAAACTAAATTTCTCATGATCTCCATGTTTTTTGGTTGTCCTACATGTTGCACCTCTCTGTGCGCCGAATGACCTAGATGAAAATGGCAATCTTTTCTTTGAACATCTGGAAACTCTGGTTTGGTCGCATTAATTGAAGCTTTTTTCAAGATCAGTTAACACAAACGGTGGATTGAATTCTAAATTATTTTATCTACCAATTCTAGTAGCGTTTTCTTCGCTCGAGAGACAAAACTCAATCTGTCTATTCGAAAACAAAGCAAGCAAGAATATAGAAGAATGATGTAAAGGAGGGCTACCAACCGTACCTCATTTGGGGGTACAGCATCCCATTTCGCTACTTTGCACCCTAAGAATGTTTGTACCCCATTTCTACATTCTTCTATACACTCTTACTCTTATAAACAATACCTATCGCATCTTTTTATTAAAAACTAGACCAATTTTTTTGCTACAACTTCTGACCTGAATTTCGCGTAGAACAGAAATGTAAAGCCACACCCTCAAAATCGCCTAAAAGTGTACGATTTTATCGTTCGTGGGATTTGCTTCAATTGTTAAAGAAATGATTTCGCAAGTTATTTCCAGGATCTACACTTTTCTCAAACTCTTTCGATAAGCTAGTAACAATTAACCGATTACATCACTTTAGTTAAACAAACTGGCCGTATTAAGCTAGCCTGCCTCAGCAGTTAAAAAGGAGTCGATGGCTGTATTACAAGTCAGTAAACAGACTAATGATAAAACTAAAAATATCTATGTTGCTTTGTGGCGATACGAGAAATTCATTATCTGAAGAGTGAACTATGAATAAAGCAGTATCGTTTGTCATTGACTAGTCTTCTCGGCTAACATGCCTCACAACACCGTGGGAATCATAGTCGATCTTGAATCGAATGAACGTCGTGCATTTGAGAAATTTACGAGTAGTGTAGAAATCGTTAATTTGATTCGATTTCTGACCTTCTAAACTTCTACAGTATATATCAATACAGTGTACTAAATACCAGACTAGAGCATCTACATAGTCATACACACACTCAACATCTTTGTTAATGAAAATAGTCAAAAGGGAATGTTGTGTTGGAAAATCGACTATTTCTCTTTTAACTGAAGAAAAAGAACTTTTCAATCATTTTTAGCCGATGAAAAACATGAACTTATGTAAGTTCGACATTGAACGATTTTGGTATGTCATATAATTTAGTGTAAAAGCACTCCATTCTTCATGGGCTTTCATTTAGTATATAAGTCACCACATATCCTGTTCAGAAGTGTATTTTTAGCCCGCCTTGAATAATATTCGTTCAGACCCTGTACATATGCGTACTGAAAACGTTCGTCAACAAGCGTTTTAGTAGTGAATATCTAATGTCCATGAAGTTCACAGTAATTTTACTTCTTTATACATTGTAGTACATCGGTTTCATGTTGACGATGCGTATAAAAAGAGTATACGACCTCCTTTCAATCTCACCCACATCCTCCAAATCGCTCAAACTGATCTTTGCCAGTTTCAAATCTGGATAGAAGCATCCAAACAGTCTTTCAATTATCTCTGTTCGTTGCTATACGTGAAATTCAATTTATTTTTCTCTTTAACATGGCATTGCCAATGTACCTCAAAATCAAAATTTGTGTATTGTTAATCTAGCGAAAAAATATAACTAATTATAATGCTCTCAAAGAAGAACAAGCAATGCTGCAGCGATTGTTCACTGCTTGAAACCATGCAAGCACTTATGCGCTGTCGTAATGTGAGTTCGTCTATTTGCATTTAACAAATAACATTCGATATTCGATTGTTTCTCTCTTCGATGGTAATGTAATCAATACTTCATAACGAAAATTCAGAAGTTGAATATACTTCAGTATTACGTACACATGTATTATTCAAGCGTCACAATACTATCTCCCTACATCGGAAAAATATAGAAGTATTAAATGTAATCAGTAAGTTTTGATTTGTTTGGAGTGGTTGTACTTAGGGTAGTTCAAAAACGGTTAAGGACGTACCTTATTTCCTCAAGTAGCGGCCTAAAAAAGTTTCTTTTTCATCAATAGATAGAGCGTGTTTTATTGTATTTTTCTGTACTATTCGATCTTTACTAAACTGAGTTTTTAACCGTCGCCAAACGCTTGTTTTATAGGAAAAAGAAAGGAAAAAACAGAAAATTTGTTAGAATATCGTAGTGTAAGTTCTTCAAGAGTAGGTATTTTTCATAAATGATTGAATTTAAATAGCTGAATTTTTCGCAGTCTGTAGATATACAATTCTCGATTCGCATGCGAAGACGACTATTCAAAGTCTATTGTCAACAAGTCATGGAATAGATTTCTCCTTTAAAAGCTCAGCTAAAATCTTATAATAATCATGTCAGAAAAATAGATAGCATACGGTTCAATGCATCTTCATCTCCTCTTCTCAGTGGTAAAAACCGCACATGTCCCTCTTGCCTTCATCGAAAGTTATTCCAAAAATATCAACAAGCATTCATGCGCATGCTACCAGGAAATATGAGACAAAAAACAGATAGTATCGAAATTTTAGTATGATGATATCAGTTTAATAGTAACCAAATAGCATAGAAAGATAGAACAAAACACGCTCTATCTATTGCTAAAAAAGATTATTCCTGTTATATCTATGGTTAAGAAAGAAGGCATCTTCCTCAAAGAAATTCACATCGCTTGTACATATGCCGTTACCGTGTTGCGGCGCAAAAATAAAAAAATTTCCACGGTGCCACTACCGTAAGAGTAACTTTAGAAACCGTCGTTGCCACGCCTTTGTTGCTACCTGGAAAATCCTACTATGAATGAAAGCTTTTTTTCAAGATTATTGAATTATTTATAGGATGCACTATAAGAGATCTTTCATGTTTTTTAATTAGAAATACAAATCAACACACAGTATATTTGTGACATTTCACGACTGGTAGAGTATTAACAAAGAATATTTTCTTACCTAGAAATACGGTGGCCATCAATACTGATTCTACGCTGTTTCTAGAGCGTTAGATATTGAACATCCCGAGATAAAAAGCTACCACTTATGCAGTGCTTTCATAAAAACATTCTTTGCGAGAATTCGATGAGAACCAGTTCTCCTGTTTTCTTTGTTAAAACCATGTCTAAACTATAATTGAAGTCCATCATTCCATTCTGCGCTAAAAACTGCATCATGGAAAATTACAAATGTGTTATTGTTCTTCATAAAATATATTGTGTATTCTATGAGTAATGGAGCTTTGCATGACTTCTGACGCGTTTTTTTTCATATTGTCTCTTTTTTTCTTTCCACTTCAACTTAGGAAGAAATAAAACGTGCTCGGATGTGATGAAGTTTTCAGAAAAACAATTTACATAAAAAAAGTTTTTTAAACATTATCGTGAAGCTAGCGCTACAAAACAAAAAAAATTCGACAGAACCTTATTCTCAAATGAATCTTCGTCCATATAAATAAATCGATCAGATATAGAGTTTGATTCTACATCTAATCAATGTTTTTGTACGGACGAAGATTCATTTGAAAATAAGGTTCTATCGATTTCTTGTTTTTTGGCGCTAGCTTCACACTGATGTTTCAAACACATTTCTATGAAAGCACTGCATAAGTGGTAGGTTTCTATTTCGGGATGTTCAGTATCTAACGCTCTAGAAACAGCATAAAAATCAGTATTGATGGCCACCGTATTTCTAGGTAAGAAGATATTCTTTGTTAATACTCTACCAGTCGTGAAATGTCACAAATAGACTGTGTGTTGATTTGTATTTCTAATTAAAAAACATGAGAGATCGCTTATAGTGCATCCTATAGATGACTCAATAATCTCAAAAATGACATATAGGAGCAGCTTTGAAATTAGATTTTTTATGTAGTTTTATTCTCGTATAAGATTATAAAGCAAACAAAAAAATAGGATGTACCTGAGGATAAGTATAAAAGCAAGGATGAATATCGATTAGTCTATACACAATGTGGTCCATAAATAACCCGACGGTAAGAAATTTCAATTTCCTTCGTGACTTGAGCAAACGGGCTGATTTTGTTTAACCAACAATAGAAATATGTTAACACTCTTAATCCATATAAACAAGATCAGAGTGAACCTTTATAAAGTACTAGTAATGATTTCAACAGTGTTATTTTACTTTTTGTTTACTCAAAAAATAAGTACATCCCAGAGCAGGTCAGTATACTCATCAGTTCTTTTGTTCGATAACTCTTCGAAGTTGTGTACGTTTGAGTCCTAACTTTTCCTGCAGAATCACGACTTCAATATCTATGCCATGTTCACAGATGAGACCGACCACTCAAGAAATGGCGAGGAAAACCAAGAGTCCGCCCTGATGATGAGCGTACAGTGATTTTTGAAGAAAAAAATTTAGGATACACTTGTATACTACAAAAACATAACAGAACTCAGTTTGTTGGAGGGTTCGTTAGATCAAAACACATTAAGGATTGTGCACAAGTGAGGGTATAATTCTACTCTTTGAATTACGCATACTGCTCGGATTTCAATCCAGAGTTCCCGCATTTAATACATACTGTACAACCGACTGGTAATAGATTATTGGAAATAATTGATAACGTGGGTATGAGCAAAGACTTCACACGCAACCATTGATTCCAGATAACGTTATTCTGATGTGGCTGAAGTCTAATTAACTATCTATATCAGAAAGAAGACTCTCTTGCAATCGGTTCACAGCGAATAAAATCTGCATTTAGATTCATAAATGCCCATTACTTTTGTTATTATAGATATCGTAATGACTACTATTTCAGCTTATAAAGATGCGTGTAGAAAGTGGATTGGTGTTATTTGGTTAACGCTAGAAGTGAATTTAGTTGCTGGTACTATATTTGGTTTTGCAGCACTTTTCAAAGTATTACCAAAGTATGGTGTCTATAGTCACTACTGTACGTCTGCTTCCAATACAACAGCAGCAGCAGCAGCAGCACTGGTAAACTGTGGTGCTCAGACTCGTGAATATCAAGTATCTTAACAGAATACTTTAGTAATTTAAATAACTGTTTGCTGTTTAGAATGCATTAACGCTAGGAATCGCTTTCTTTGGTTTGCCGTCGGCACTTGTGGGGGGCCTCATTGACAAGCTTGGTTGCCGTTTTACGAAACTCATCGGAGTGTAATTAATGTTACATTTTCTTTCTATTTCATTTGTTTTCAATTTTCAAAGAGTTTTTCATGTTGTGGGATGGTTGGCTCTCGCTTTAGTTCAATCCGGTACTTGAAACAGGAAAGTTCTTATGCATAGTTTGCTGCTCTATTTTTTCTACAGGTCGAGACTATTTACTATACATTCACACTGTGTTCTCATCAATCGGTGGCATAGCTGTTTTAATCTCAACTTTTGCATCTAGCGAATATTTTGCAACATCTCGAGCAGTGATATCAGCGCTATTTGCTGGTGCGACTATATCATCAACAATGTGGTTTTCCATTTTTCAAGTAAATTTGTCAATTCAGGCTTTTTCATGATCGAGTCGTTTGGATATACATAACAAGTTTTGCTCTAAGTGGAACTTGACGCGCGCGATCGATTCCAAAAGGAACGTTTCCAGAGAGCCTTCTCGTTCTGTTTCGTAAACTCAGCAAAACTGCAGAGAAAAGCGCTAAAAAAGCTCAGGTTGTATATAAGTTGGGGCAGATCTGTTTTTGCAACAGGAAAAATAATTCCAACATTCGTTCTCGCTCGATCAGTTCCGTTGACTTCGTTCATCATATTTCAGATGGCTTGTTGTGTGAACAAGAGCGAACGTGAGACAAAAATATCACGAGTAGAATCGATAGACTTCGTCGATTTCTACTTGAAGCCAGTTTAATCAAAGATTAAACGCTAATCTAAGTAAATTATTGCATTCTAACAAAATTTTAGAGATTAATCGATGATGGTCATGCAACCATCGGACATTTATCATATATATGGATGTCATTTGGGGTACTACTGTTTGTCTCTGCATTTTTGTTCCTCGATTGGAAATTCACGTTATGTAAATTACCTTATGGAACTAATGTAACATTTGAAGAAGCACTAACAAAAAGCAACAGTAAGCATCCACTATTGAATCGGATCCATTTCTCTGAACATCTCTCTTTCATCAGCAGACAGAACGGACTCTGAAACGAAGTGGTACATTAAAATTTATCAGCGCACTGGCATTTGGAATCATTTGTTAAGTCCTTTATATATATTGGTAGTTCTCTTTCTGAGCGTATTGCTGCTACCAAGTGTATTGCTGTCTGTTATTTGGTATCCATGGGTACATTACATAACGAATCAAGATACCGTTTTAGGTAATCAATCGTAAATTTGACAAGCACTCCTTGTTAACGAGAATATAGACACAGCAGAATATTTAGTGGATATCATAGTGACACCAGGCTGTAGTATTTCAATGTGACGGATATTGATTTCTAGAAAATTTGTGTTCAACAGTCGTTGTGTTTTATTGCATTGGTTATAGAATTTCCTAACCATTTTTAGTTCCATTATTTTATATTTGATCTGGGCTTATTACAAAAGAAGATATTTTGAACTATTATAGGGAAGTCAATTTCAAAAAAAAGATGCGAACGTTCAACGTACAACATTTTTTGAGAGTTTTATGAACTGAAAATAGATTCATAGAATGATAGACTCTTGAAAAGTGGGTAGAGCAGCTTATATTTTTGCTATAATAAAATCGAATGAGTAAATACTATGATAAGTAATTACTTTTATTTTAGCCAATCAATATACGTTTGCATTTAATGTGTCGACACTCTCAGCACTCGCTATTTGTCCGATCAATGGTTTCATTCTTGGACGCAATGCTATGAAAAGTAAGTAGCATACCATGCGGTTTTTGACAATACTAGATGAAAATAGGTTATATGATTGTTAGTGATTACAAAACTTGAAGGTTTTATCTCGAAAACACAGGGGCTGTTTAGAATTTCCTAAAAATAAGACAGAATTCTAATACTAAGCAACATCTATTTTCAAATGAATTTTCAATGACAAAGAATACCTATGGATATTCTTAAATACATGTAGCTGTTACACCGATGATTCATTTCTTTACAGATAGAAAACAACAACTATTGAACATATTAATAGTCCAGACAATCTCATGGATATCGAATGTTGCACTATGCATTATCTGTATGTTTGTGACATTGAATGTCATCATACCGGCTTTGGTCATAAACTGTATTGCACGTTCAACAATTGTAGCTGGTTCGCAGGCCGTGGTAGCGACTTTGTAAGCTTCTTTTACAAGACACGAATGAGATTTTAAGAGTGTGTATATGTCATTCGTTCATACTCTCCCAAGTGATTCTTTCTAGAATCGATTTCGTATCTATTTAGTTTTCCATCTGAGTATATTGGAAGATTGACTGGTATTATGTGGACAGTAGGAGGTGCAGTAACTTTTATTCAATATGCACTTGTCCTCTTGACCGACGATATATCAAAATCATGGAGGGTGCGCACGTTTTTAAATTTATCTTTGGATATGAAAATTAAAATACCTTTTTTATTAGGCTTGGGTAATTGTGCTGGTATTAGTGATGATCATGTCTTGTCATTTGGTACAGATATTGCTAAAAATATTCAAGAAAGAGCAGCATGAAGTGTCAGACACGAAAATGACTGAAACTCAAACGTAGACCTTTCTTGTGACTACTCATTCTTTGTACTAAAATGATTCATGCTCATATTTTAATGATTCTTATTTAATCGGATCTTTATATTATTCTCTTTTATCAGAAATAAAGAACGAGAGTTGGAGTGAATGCCAAGTCATATTTCCTGAAGATCATTCGGAAACCAGGTTTTTTTGTCAGGAATCGATGATTTCTTTTAGAATCAAAACATGGTAACTAAAATTTATAGAATTATAATAAATGAAATGATATTCCATCATCTAAAATCCTATTATATAATATGTCTTGTGTTGAAGCAATTACTTTTCTAACGTGCCCTTTTTTTTTGTTCAAACTCAACTGGTTTTTGCCATTTTTTACTGTGTGAATGATGTTTGCCAGTAAAGATGTCAATTATCTCGTGAGTTTTATTGTAAATATCATTTTTTCTGTAGTAGAAACTCAAAGTATTTGACTGTTGTTGAATAAAGATGACTGAAAGCACGCACGTGGTCAGTTACCTGCTGATTAATCGCGGATTTTTCAACGATTTTCACGACCTCGGAATCCTTATATATTAGTTTTTTCGAACCCAGAAACGCAACAAAAGAATGATGCACTGATGTCTTTTGCGTATGTGTCATGTGTGTATGCATCATTGCGCCCAAATATGATGACACCGTGGGATCGTTAAAGAAAACGAGCACGCTTCGTTTCAAAAGCTACTGATGAGAACATTTTGACGATTTACATGATATTTTGGAACACTCCTAATATACAGTAATATGACATTCACATTCTCGTTCGACGTATACAATCTGTGTCACTATGTTGCAGCTACCTGCAATACACAACTTTCTGTTGTCGTTGTTGCCTTTTGCAATAGATTAACTGCTGCAGTTTCTTGCCAATTTCAGGTATTGTTCCAAGACAAATGAATGGAAATAAGAATACAACGTAACATTCAAAGAAGAACATGTAGTTTTGTATAAGTTCGAATGAACTGAATGATAAGCCAAATATACTAAATAATTTCGAAGTGGGCCATGGAAATTGAAAACCACTAAAGTTAATGAAAATCAATAAGACTTGAATAATCAATTTTCGTTGCCTTTTCCACTGAAGATGTCCTCTTTGATTCGCTTTTTGTCGTATAAAACGAAAGAAAAGTCCAAAAGTAGAGATATTAATAAGAAGTATTGGAACAATTTGATGAAATAAAAAATCATATTTCGCATATATTGGATCAACAAACATACAAGGTAAATGGACACCGATAACTACTGATTGAAAATCAAGATATTCACAAAATGGATAAAAAGTAATTAAAGCATAATAAATAAAACAATAGAGAGAAAGAAATGCTAATGGTATGTAATGTAGAAGAATTCGTCTTCTTTTATTTAATAACCATCGACTATGAAAAATAAGTATGTGTCTTTCGATAGTACACCAAGCAAAAATAATCGCTTCTGATGTAAATAATCCAAAAGTAATGTATGACCAAAGTTGAGAGTATGGACGTGTTGGATTCCAATGACCGTTGCGTCTATAGTAATAGATTATAAGTGGAAAACTAGTACATTCCATAATCAAATCGACTAAGAGAATAACTATAATAGCATGATAATTTAATGAATAACGAAGAATTCGATTTGATAGGAGATGATATAGAGTGAATAAACAGAAAGGTAATGATACGATATTTGAAATAAGATAGATCCAAAATCGAATAGGATATGGAAGAGGAAACTGTTCATAATATAAAAGTGTTGTATTACTCAAACTATCGGTCATACTATTTGTTATTGGGGGAAAAATACGATTGACTTCTATACAATGGAAAATGTTCCCGAAGATAGTTTATATATATATCTATATTTCAACTCGCTTACTAAATTAATCTAGCGTCATGAATATTAATGCGATTTTTATGATAATCAACATATACTTTACTAACGCTTGGATTATCATCATCATTTTAGAGAAAAAATGTCAATTTAACCATGAAATTCAAATTTTATCTTTCACAATATAAGCATTTAGTTATGCGTGTTAGTTAACATTCTGCATACATATTCAAACTAACTATTGCTCAATCAGCTCTTCTTATTTGTTGTGAAATGGGCGGTGAAGATTTGAAATAAAACCACATTCACATTTAAATTTTAGAAATAAGATAAATTCAAAGTCGCAAAATATGTCTAATTGGAAGCTATTCATAAGCCAAAGGTGTTTCTTCAAGGATAGAATTTTTCATGTGCTTTTTCATTCGATAGAATATTTCTAACGATCCATTCTTGTGTCGGAAGAGAATTTTTCAGTGCGTAAATAATGTTGGATAAAAAATGTTAATATACTTTTTATGGCGATTAACATGACTTTTATTTACACTTCAATTAACTCGATCATGTTTCATGGTAATTATCTCGGAAAATGAATCGATTTACTGTATGTCATGGTGGGTGTGCTCATCTGTCTACAGGTAGTTCAATGTAGAATCGTTTATAATGGAGACGCCTAATAAATATAATAAATGATTCATTATCTGAATACAAATAAAGATGTTTCCTGAATGAAATGTGAAGGTAAAAAGTTGTCGTCTGTTCTTACATATTCACATAAATATTTGCGTCAGAATTAAAAATAAGGAAGAAATGCATTACTCCAAGCCACTCTATCTGTGCTCAGCTTCGCTAAAGTTGAAATTCAAATTTCGCAAAATAAAATGTGATCAGTTTATAGAGCATGAAACACTAGATGTCAAATAGTTGTATTACTAAGCTTTTTTGTAGTACATAGACAAAGGTTTCTAGCAAACGCTCTACAATGATTTATGGAACAGTTAGAGTGCGAGGAGAATCAGAAATCAGTGGGCTTTCTACTAAAAGATCAAATAAATTATTATCGGTTTCTATAGTTAAAATATACTCTGTCTGCAAACTTTGGCCGAAAAACGGATGAGTGCGTTACTAATTAGAGATTTTTTAAAGTTTGTTCTATTAATGTGTACTATAACCTAAAAGAACAGTATTTATACTTACCCAGGTCGAGCGTTCCAGCCGCCGGAACCGGCACGGAACCGAGACGGAAAACATCGGAAATCGATACAATTCTGCAGGTTCCGTCTCGGAAAACAGCTGGATAGCACCGGATATTCGCCGGTTCTTTGCCGCC